CTGTGGGCCCCACTGTGAATAATGTGTGGTAAAAAAATTTGTATCTTTATCATTTGACATGGGGTTGTCAAATGAAACCAAAGTTAATGACCTTGACCTTTGACCTAGGAAGTTGTACATAAATTATGACCCATCCTCTGGTGTTGGTTTATATACATATTAAGTATAAACTTTGAAATCATAACGGTTCTCAAGAAATAAAGCGGACTCGATCTTTACCATAGGACATGGGGTTGTCAACTAAAACAAGTTTTTGACCTTGACCTTTGACCTAGGAAGTTGTACATAAATTATGACACACCCTCTGGTGTTGGTTAATATACATGTCAAGTATAAACTTTGAAATCATAACGGTTCTCTAGATATAGAGCGGACACAATGTGTTACGGACGGACGGACGGACAGACGGACGGACAGACGGACGGACGAACAGACTGATCACTATCGGGCGTCCGCCATTCGGCGGGGCCCTAATAACATGATACATAGTTTGAATTGGTTTTTGAGATCCTTGAACACACAGGTACATAGAAGAACCTTTAATACAGATCAGTTCAGAAAACAACACCGAAATCGGTATTACAGACACATAAAAAAATATATACAAAACAAAGATGTACATATCAAAGAATGCGGGTAATAAAATCAAGCTCAAAGTACTAAATCTGCTGAATAAAAGATAAAATTGAGAATGTAAATGGGGAATGTGTCAAAGAGACAACAACCCGACCATAGAACAGACAACAGCAGAAGGTCACCAACAGGTCTTCAATGTAGTGAGAAATTCCCGCACCCGGAGTCGTCCTTCAGCTGGCCCCTAAACAAATATACATACTTGCATTATCCCCCACAGAGCTGAATTTTTAAAGCACTGTGTGATTCAAAATATGATTCTAATACCCTCAACTGTTGTTTTTCTAATTTTTAGATTTTTCAGATTGCATAGTATTTTTAAATATTTTTTTTTTTAAATCAATGTTTCTATAAACAAACAAAAAAACGGTTCTTATTCACCCCTACTGGCCGATTTGTTTTTTGTACTCGTATGAAGCAGAATTCATTTAGAACCTTCTAAAAGACAAAAAGAAAAAGAACCTTGCAAAATTCTTTAATTTTACTTTCCGATATATTGATGCTGTCCTATCATTGAATAACCCATATTTCAGCCAATACTTACATCTCATATATCCCAGTGAACTTGAAATTAAAGATACTACTGATACTAGAAGGACTGCTTCATACCTTGATCTTTTCCTCAATATCGACACAGATGGACGACTTCATACGAAAATCTATGATAAACGGGACGATTTCAACTTCCCAATTATCAATTTCCCATTTCTCAGCAGTAACATACCCTCTGCCCCTTCGTATGGTGTTTACATATCGCAGTTGATACGTTATGCTCGTGCATGTTCACACTATACGGACTTCATATACAGGAGTGTGCTCCTAACGCAGAAACTGCTCCAACAGAGTTATGAGGAGGACAGATTAAAAATGACAATCCGCAAATTTTACGGACACCATCACGAATTGGTCGATCCATACGATGTGTCTTTGTCCAAACTAACTAATGACATTTTTACCACGTGTTAGATTGTGGTTTGACATTACGTCGTCTGATCTTTTAATTACCGAACGTGACTTATTCCCGATTGTGACTGTTTTGCTGAGTGTATTTAGTTTTTATGTTATATTTGTTATTCTCATCGGATTTTGTCAAATGTCTTATCGTTTGTAGTTGTAAATCTTATGTTTTTCTGTTGTATTCGTGTGTTATGGTAAAGATAATTAATCACCCAGTTCATTAATTAAATGTTAGTTTGGGTCAACTAAATTTATACGATATATTTGGTTTACAGTTTGATTTAGAAGAAACACCGACATAGCTAGATAATACTATTAATTAACTTATTACTACCACATTTTATATTAATTAGTATTGTAATTTTCATTGTTATTAATAAATGTTATATGAGTATTATAAACCAAATCTTGAATTCTATCCTCATTCTATCCTATTTTGGGGAAATTTCAGAAATTCAAATGTGACGTCACCTTTTTTTGCGTTGATCTCTTTGGCTAACTCGGCTGTGAATTTTTATGTGCTGGTTTATGTTGTTTTATGTATCCGTTTTTATTCTGTAGTTAGTCACTACTTCGGTGTTGTCATGTATATCTATTATATAGTCATATTTATAAATTTACTGTTTGCAAAAGTATGAATTATTCTAAATACTAAGGATTTTCTGATCCCAGACATATAGCCGTAATCGTATTTGGCACAACTTTTTGGAACTTTTGGTCCTCAATGCTCTTCAACTTTGTACTTGTTTTGGCTTTCGTACTTTTTTGATCTGAGCGTCACTGGTTAGTCTTGTGTGGACGAAACGCGCGTCTTGCGTATTAAATTTTAAACCTGGTACCTTTTGTTAGCTATTATTCGTATGTTTCTCTGTCCTGTATGTTCTCCCATTTATTTGTATTGAAGTCCTGTCATGTAATGCTGTCATTTTAATGTTATATTTAACATTGCCATAAAAGCGGGAGGTTTGGCTAGCCACAAAACCAGGTTCAACCCACCATTTTTTTCTTAAAATGTCCTGTACCAAGTCAGGAAAATGGCCATTGTTATATTATAGTTCGTTTCTGTGTGTGTTACATTTTAATGTTGTGTTTCTGTTGTGTTGTAGTTCTCCTCTTATATTTGATGTGTTTCCCTCAGTTTTAGTTTGTAACCCGGATTTGTTTTTTTCTCAATCGATTTATGAATTTCGAACAGCGGTATACTACTGTTGCCTTTATTTAGTAGATGATTGGCTGAGTTTAGAGGTCATTTTCTTTATCAGCTCTCTTGGATGAATCAAAATTTGCTAAGAACAAGTGTTATAGAAATTGACAACTTTACATGTGTATAACCTAGAAATCTGGAATGCGAAAGGCACTCGAATGGGATTTTCGTTTATCAAAAACGGAAATTTATTTAAGAACTAAATGCTTCTTTTTGTAAATTTATTGGGGTGTAAAAGCGTTGGCCGAAGTACATTTTGTATGAAGCGGAGCGCTTCATTCTAAAAATGTGCGCACGGTCAAGGCTTTTACAACCCTATAAAACTACTAAAAGAAGCATTCAATATTTATAGTTACATTTTTTTGCTAGGATCATGAAAACACGATTTCTATCAAGTTTCTTTTATTTACCTGTGCACTTTATTTTGGACGCTCGTGTCATCATGAATGTACATTTCAATACGGAATGAAGGTTAATTTCAGAACGACGCAAGATTGCTGTTAGCAAATCAAAATAACGTGTTATAAAGAAACATACATGTAATGTTATCATTTGAAAATCATTAGAGAAACAGATTATTACATCTTAGTAGTTGCTCGTGGATTATCAGATGAAAAAGAGGCAAAAATAAAGATCATTATCGTAAAAGGATGCCTAAAAATGTGCAGATGGATTTTTATTGAAGATTCAAATAATAAGTAACAAATTGATTATCATCCACTTAATACAATGATGCAATGACTGAACAATAGCAGTATAATTATGACCTATGGAGAATGTATATTTAACAACTGAGAAAGCACATTCATAAAGAATCCGATAAGGAAGATCAGTTTCGAGGAAGAGCAAATGAAGACTAGGTAAGGAAATCGACACGAATGCATGACTTCGAAATCGCAATATCTTTTAGTAAAATTTTCAAGCATCTCCGCCCCCCATAGATATTCGAAATATAACCCTCAGGTGACCGAGGTTTCTATGTCTTGCACTCCGGTGTTAGATGTTTTATGTTTTCTTTTGTACTATTTTATGTCTTTTTTTGTTATTAATTATTCCTCAAATTGGACAAATACTCATACCTTTGCATCTGGGATGCTATTTTGTGTAATTGTTTTCACTATTGTTTATTTACGTACCAAACAATTCAGAATAATAATTGCGAAACTAAAAAAAAATATTCTAAATTTGATAATGACCTTCATAGTTTAATTTAATATTCTGATACCATACCGTGACAAGTTCGAATTATTCCCCTTTCAACGAATCCAAATGAAATGAAATACAGTAACGGATTCAATGAGCGAATATAGTAATTAGGTCTTCCACCTTTATGTGAGAGACTTTTTGGTATTGTTCTGATTTACTTCTTCCACCATTTGCACACAGTAACTATTCGATATGAATAATAATTCAATTGTTCAGTTTCATATCTATTTCATCATATGTTTCAATTGCTATGAATATGCGTTAAACGAAAAAAAAAGGAAATGAAAATTATAAATTAAGCGACCTTAACCTAAATTAAGTGGTTTAACCCCGCCACATTCTGTATGTATGTGCCTGTCCCAAGTCAGGAGCCTGTAATTCAGTGGTTGTCGTTTGTTTATGTGTTACATATTTGTTTTTCGTTCATTTTTTGTACATAAATTAGGCCGTTAGTTTTCTCGTTTGAATTGTTTTACATTGTCATTTCGGGGCCTTTTATAGCTGACTGTGCGGTATGGGCTTTGCTCGTTGTTGAAGGCCGTACGGTGACCTATAGTTGTTAATTTCTGTGTCATTTAGTCTCTTGTGGAGAGTTGTCTCATTGTCAATCATACTACATCTTCTTATATTGCCTGGTAAATCCAATTTTTATTTTCCGACAGCAGTCACTTAATTATACTATTTGATATACGGATGAAGCAATTAATACAATTTTCAACGACAACTTTATATTAAAAAAAAATACTATAGAGTTATATGCACATTTTTGCTAGATTTCATAAGAAGTTCAAAGGTGGATCCAGTCCTGTTAATAAAAATTTGTTGTTCATTTTTACTGTTTATAGTTGCTGTCAATCAAATTATAGTTTTTAAAATAAGTAATTTTTAAGTAATTTTCATTTTAGAGCTAAAAAGTCATAAAGATTGTAATATTTTAGATCTTTCAATGAATTTTAAACACGTCTGAAGACAAAAAAAATAAACAATTCAGAAAGCTAGAATGCTCTTAGGTACAGAAAGGACACCTTTAATTGATTACTAAATAGATACAATGTGAAATGCTTATTGTAAATGCTTTCGTGTACGGAATGCTCTTCAACTTCCAAATTGATCTGGCTTTCCAATTGGTTTGATTAATTTGGGCGCCACTGAGAAACAGTACAAATTTAACTTGTTATTTTGACGTGTTTTGCAAGAACTAAGTCGATGCCACTGCTGTTCGACGTTTCGTCTCCGCAAGTACACCAGCCTAGTAGTCAGCCCTTTTGTGTATAAAATATTGATTGATACGTCAGTTTTGGTAAAGTTACTGTTCATTAAACCTTCAAAATCATTCAAAATACTATGGTTTTTCCATTCCTAGGCAAGTTCGCCAAAACTTTTTTGCAATATTTTTTGTTCAATGTTCATCGACTGCATCATTGTTTTTTTTTTATTTGGGTGCCACTAATGAGTCATAAGTAGCGGAAACGCGTGAGTTCCTAATTACCCAACATGAATTTCTTCCCCTTTAATTGGTTTTTAAACCGTTGGAGTCAAACTCCGCACAGTGATCGTTTCCGTTCCGGAACTATTTTCCTTGCGGAACGGAGCTGGAACTGCCGGGGTGTTTGTGTTGGAGTAACAAGAATAAACGGGACACGTGAAGATATTGCTGTTAGTTTTACGTACAATGCTATAACATAGATAAATATGGTTTTAACAGTTATATTTTGGTACAAATAGACCGAACCTGAACATAAGAAAAAAAATATCTTGATACAAAGAGGCTGAAAATAAGAAAAAACATAAATGTTTCAAACCTACAACCCACTTATGTCAACCAGTTATATACACACCAACACCATTTTTCAATTTATATATTAAATAAGTCTACTCTTCCTGGTTAATGAAATCTTCCTGATTGATTTAATCATTCATTGTTTTAACAAACTAATCAATCAAACGTGCAACATTCTAAACTATAAATGATAGTAAAAGTTTCATATCAAATTTCAAATATACCATTACAGAAGTTTACTTTTAATTTGGCATTAGTTGAATGCAATCGCAGAATATTGGCAAAAAAGCAAATTGCAAGGTATATAAGAATGAAATCACCAAAAGCCAAAAACAATCAAAGATGAATATTCTAACATTTTTCTCACTTCTCATTTTCGTCACTCATAAAACAGTTAGTTCGGGCAAGTATTTTTACTTTATCTCGAACTCAAAAATATAAATTAAATATTCTTAAATAGTTAGTCAGTAAATAATATGTATATATCAAATTTCCATTACATTTATTAAATGATCTATCATGTATGTCTGTAATGACTTTAGTACAAAAGCGTTAAATAGCGTTACTTTTAATATAGTTTTCTTACATGTATACATTGTATATATCTATTTATCATATACTTATAGAAAATAATGGTATAATTGTATCCCATGATAAAACTTATTTGTACATATTTTTATTCATTATATTTCAAGAATTGCTTTAGCCGTGTGATATGACTTTTGTTATCAACTGCTTCTGGTTTTAGCCGTGTGATATGACTTTTGTTATCAACTGCTTCCGGATTATATCAAATGCTTCCGTTTTATATCAGCTGCTTCCGTTCGCTATCGCCTGACATTTCGACGTCATTCGGCTAAATCCGGAAAATACACATCAGTGGTACTTTTTTGTGTAAAACAACAAAGTTGGATAAAAAAATAATACTAGGAATCAGGACAATATATTATTAGAAAATACAAAACAAATATTACAACAAATGCATCTTGTCTGTATGTCTTCTGCTGAAGTATATGATAAAAAGAACATAACATGTAATTTTTCATATCAGACCCCTTATCAGCCCATGGTCAAAATCATCCCTCGAGCCTGTCGGCTCTCGGGCTGATATCGTGACCTAGGGCTGATAAGGGTCTGATATGAAAAATGCCATGTTATAATCTATATTTATCAGAAAAAGTGTTTCTCTTTTCATAGATCCATGCAGTAATAACGATATCATTGCAAATGCTGAGAAACGTTCATCTGGATACCCGATTGACTTATCCAAAGATACGCCTATAAATGACGTGTTTCTGTCTGATGGATGGTACAAGGTTGAAAGCAGTATTGAAAGTTCTATGCCAAGAGAAGCACCAGGACCCTTGAAGTGTGGAACGTGGTATCCAATCTGGTTAAATGGTATGTTAATCGTTTCTGTAATTTTTTTCTATCCGTCGATTTTTTTTTTTTTAATTGTGAACCAATTTTTTCCGTCATACGAAGAATAATAATTGTTGATTTACATTGGTATTGGCATTCGATTGCATAATTCTTCAAACTGACTAGGATTGCCAGTTTAAATGCCAACACAAGGGGTCTCTCCGGTTACTACGGCTTCCTCCACTAATAAAACCAGGCCGCTACGTTATATCGAAGAGTGTTGAAAGTGGAGTTAAATAGCAACAACCAATCAATCAATCAATCAAATTTCTTCAGTAATTTTGATTATTTACAGATACCTTACCGACAGTTTCCGAAGGTATTTCAAGCAAAGAATTGTGTATGCAGTCATTCTTCGAACATTGTGCAAGTTCTTGGAATATAGAAATAAAAAACTGCGATGACAATTTCTACGTGTACAACCTGGTTAGTAGTCCTGTGGACAAATCAGCTTATTGTTTTGGTAAGTGTTTTAATCATGTATTATTCATAATATCGAAGTTAAGATAAATATATCATAACAAAAAGTATATTTACTAATGTAAGAGAATAGGAAGAATATGGAACAGGTCTACAATATAACAACCAATGGAAAAACTTCAAAAAAAAAGAATAGTTTTATACTGTTCTGGTGTTCGGTGAGAAAATCCAGAACCTTCTTGTTACTTGTTTTATATTAGTCTTTTTACTTATTACTTTCAATACTATTTCTCCATTCCACTATATTGTTAATGTCTTATATGTAGGTATTTTAAGTAAGCATTTAACATCGTTCGCGTAATTTTGTACGTAAGACTCATCATCGGCGCTCGAATCAAAACAGTTAGAAAGGCCAAAGTCACAATTTTTATGGCGGGGATATTTGTTATTAACAGACAAGATTAGGAATTATCCTTTTAGTTTTGCTTAATATACTTATTCAGAAGGATGAAAATTATGCAGCAGTTGTTCCATCATTGATCTGTGTACTTTTATGATTGGCATACATTCCTGGATCTTTGTTTAAAACAAGATTGTGTTCCCTTTAATGATGTGTTGTCAGATTTACTCTGGGCACTACACAAGACTGGGTCTTCCTGTCTTCTGTATTCCCCCTTAAAAATATTCAAAGCAATCTGAAGAAATGAAAAGAAACCTTCATTTTAGCACTGATCTTTAAAAGATTCATAGATCAATGTATGCTATTCTCTCTTTTCCATGTCTAAGCATTAAGTCTAAAAGCATTTTTCAGGATAAATTTTCCTTCTCAAAAAGATACTTGCTAAAAGAATCTATCTATTCTTAGTCAGACAGTCAGTTAATATGTTAATGTTGAAGTTCATAGTTTTTTTCTATAAAAATTTAATTTGTATTCAGGATCGCAAAAAATTCCATGTCCAGATGGACAGTCATCGGAAACAGGATATTACCCAGACTGCTCTGGTGAGTAAAAACTTTTGCTTTACAATAATCTGACGTCTCTCTTCAACTTATGATTTTTTTATTGTCCTTTTAGTATATTTCTCTTTTTTATATAACTATTACTTATACTAACTTACTGTACAACCACACAATCCTTTTCAAATAAGTTTTCACGGGGATCTCACTAACTGTAGTGTTGAACATATGTATAGGGTGTACCCATTGAAAAATGACATTAAAGATTCAAAGTACCGTAAATAAAGAAAACCCGGTAAAATATGTAGCTATCCCAAAAATCGACTAAAAACAAAACATAAGTGCATATTTCCATTTTGTATTAAAACTTAAAATACCCTTCCGGAGCATCTGAGATCATCTCGAATTTTGGTGGGGTTCGTGTTGCTTGACTTTAGTTTTCTATGTTGTGTTTTGTGTACTATTGTTTGTCTGTTGGTTTTTTTTTCTTTTTTAGCCATGGCGTTGTCAGTTTAATTTCGACTTATGAGTTTGAATGTCGCTTTGCTATCTTTCGCCTCTCTTTTAACTAAAATCCTTTTTTTCATTAGGAAAATTTGCAAATGGAAAATGGCTACCCCTAGTAACATAAGGAAATGTGAAAATAAATCCATATTTCAAATAGAAAACAAAAGAAACGATTCTTACCAAAAAGAAAAAAAAAGACAAGAAAGAGTTACATGTGTCAATATGTACTGAGGTATCACTTAAAGTTTCACATCTTTAGAAATTGCAGAAGGATGATATATGTTAAGCTAGCTTGGAAATAATTCCATTTTTTTAAATGTGTTTCTCAAAATCATTTACAACATTAAAAAGTTAAACAATAAGTTGCACAGTGGTATTTTGTATGAAATAATGCTTCATAATATTTTTAAATGGTTTAAACTGACTATGTGGAATTGGTTTTGATCATTGTTAAATGCCGTACTATGTCATATTATTGATTAAATCCGCTTCATTTGGACTGTGTTGGATGGCTGTCTCATTAACAATCATGCCCCATAAATGAATGGGACAGACGATCGATCAGTAACTTAGTGCACCTTTTTAAATATATGAGGACAATTTTAAAAAAAAACATAACTTTATAACTATTTAGTCACACACCATATGTAAGTTGTTTCCTTAAAGAAAAAGATCTGGCAGTCCTAATTTCATGTAAAAATAATGTTGTTTTCACAAATTAAAAATATTTAAATTTCTTCTGTGTTTACAAATAAAAATAAATATCATTAAAACACTTTTTCTTACAGCCAACTACCCAAAGGTTACACTAATTCCAACTGTCGTTGTTGATTTGATTCTTGGACCAGTAATTCGAAATCTCCCATATTTTGAGGAAAGTCTTCAGACGGCATTTAGTTGTCAATTCAACAGAGTTGAAGCAGAATATTATGATGTCCACTGGTATATCAATGAACAAACAGTTACAACGTTTAAGAATGTCTTATTCGATAATATTGAAGATACAAATCTTACAGAGGTTGATTGGGTTGGAAAATACAAGCTAAATATGGTGGTAAGTCTGACAGTGGCGGATCCAGAACTTTTCATAAGGGGGGCCCGCTGACTGACCTTGGGGGGGGGGGGTGGGGGGGAGGGGGCGCTCCAGTCATGCTTCAGTGATTCCCTATATAATCAACCACATTTTTCCAACGAAAAGGGGGCCGGGGCCCCCAGCAACCCCACCCCCCCCCCACCCCCACCCCCCCCCCTTACAACCGCCTATGTAAAATATATTACACGTATATATTAAACTTCTTTCAAAAATAGTTACGATATAGGATAGATCAGTAGTTGAATCTCCCCATGCTTTTGTATGAGATAACGGTTTTATCTTAGTAAATATTTTAAGCATTTACATGTGATGTATTTGCTATTCGATCATTTTATTAATTTAATGAACACGTTTTACAAGTTTGTTTTGTATTTAAATTGATTTAATACATTTTTAAATGGTAAGATGCGATTATTTATCAAACACTTTGCCGTTTTAATTGTTTGTCGCAAATCTTCACCATCTCTTTTTACTTATATCATATTTCAACATTTACTTATTAGGTAAAATGTTCTGTGCGATTAAGAAAAGCATTCGAATCCACACCAGGACTTGAACAGACCAGTGTACCTTATGCCGCAGGACTATTTGTAAGTACAATAAGGTATTATGTAAAACGGATACTGATGGAAAGATTATTTGCAATTTTTCAGTAAATTCGTGATGCATGCTGATCCTCTCTTCTATTACTTAAAGATATAATATTTATTTGAGGGATATTTATCTAAATGAAATGTTTTAAATGGTAAGACATTCATGGCTTATTACTTAAACCGTCTCCTATATCATATTTACTTGAATGTATGTTGTTTGCATCTATATTGAGTATCGACTGGAATACAATTATTTATCAGGGGACAATTCATTTTTACATTGCACTGATTTGTACTCTTTCACATGATTATCTCCAATTATTAAAATTAGTTCAATCGTTGGTAAATATTTTGTTACTAGCCTCATAATCAACAAGCCTCAACAATTAAAACAATATATACAAAATATAAAGTTTACCTCCTATGTGCAAAACAGATTTCTTAAAAATATTTTTTTTTTTTAATTAAACTTATTAATTTCTTTGCAGCCCTGATCAGGGAAAAGTTTAATATGTTTATTAAATTACCCTCTATCCGGGTGAAATAGTTTCATTCTTATCAGCGTATACAAGATCCTTATAAAGATTTAAGTTTGAGCTCATCAATCAACTATTTGAAGTTTTAAAAAAGGTTTGCAATTATACTGCAACCGTACTGAAAAAATCCCAAAACTGAATTGAATAATTACGTCTACTATTAGTCTATCTTTTGAAAATTCGTTTTGTCATCTAATGTAGTCTCGCAGTGAATTAGGGGGACAGTTATCTCTGTTTGCAATAGCTTTCTTTCTGAATCCGTCCTTGATTTCCTACGTTTATCAACTATCAGAATGTTATCCTAGGCAGCGGAATGGGTGTCAGAGTGGAGCAGAAATCGCCTTACCTTAAGAATATAGCTGTGTCTCTGGTTTAATTAGGGAAGATGTTAGTCATTTGTTAACACCTACGTTTCTAAAGAAAGTCATTAGACATTGAAATGGGTATCAATGCCCATACTTTATAATTCCGGAAAAAATAAATAAGAGGGTGTGGAATGATTTACAACGAAAAAACTATCAAGAAGAGACCATATGATGTAGGTCGCTTTACGGTCTTAAACAATGAGCAAAAACCATACCAGATAGCATGCTATAACAGGCCTGAAATGACAAAATGTAAAACAACTCAAAAGCAAAAACCGACGACCTGATTTATGAACAAAGCAATGAACGAAAAACAAATATTGTCAACAGGTTAACAGAAACAAACGACACCACTGAATAACAGGCTCCTGACTATGATCAGGCACGTACATAATGTTACCGGGTTCATATGAAAATAAAAAGATGAGTCAATGAGACAACTTCTCACCAGAGACAAAATGACGTAGAAGTTAGCAACTATTATAGGTCACCATACGGCTTTCAACAATGTGCAAACCCCATTACGCATATCAAGCAATAAAAGGCTCCTATTTGAAAAATTTAAAACAATTCAAACGAGAAAAGTAACGACCTGGTTTATGTACAAAACAATACACGAAAAACATATATGATATACAGCAACAAACGATAACCACAGAACTACAGACTCCTTACTTTGGAGAGGCACATACAGAATGTATGTGTTTTTGCGTTAACATGGTATTATCAGTCTGGCGAGTAAAGCCATGTGTTCCAACTGAATTTTATCGTATATGTTCTTATGTTGTGTTTTTACACCTCTGTCCCAGGTTAGGCAAATGGTTAAACACTCACAAACATGTAAAACCATGCCACATTCTTTATGTGCCATGGAACTTATGAACCAGCTGTGACTTTGTCGTTGTTTGCTGTTTACCATATTTGTGTTTCATTCATTGTTGTAGTTAAGACCAGGCCGTTCGTTTCTCATTTACATTGTTTAACTTTTTGTAATATTTCAAATTGGATCTTGTACAGATTACTTTATGGTATTGGGTTTGCCTATTGTATCGTATAGTGAACTATAGAAGGTCCCGGGACAAACTGTGAAGCAATTAAAGACATAGAACCACTCATACGGCCCGGTTAGAAAGAGCATACAGGAAAGTAGTACATATTTTACACTAAATAGTTCATATGCATAGCTGTAACTTCTTCAATAAGTAAAATATTTCGTTAATTTTGGTCTCAAATAAAATAAAAGCATAAAGACCTGAGTTCACTATAAAACCCTTTTTAAAAGTTTCTTTTGAATTTTAGAAAAATATATGAAATAAAGATAGGAGGGCATATTTCCCCTGTTGCTCAGATCAGAAGTACCTGTGTTTATACTACCCAAATTTCGGGAATCAGTGCGCTCTAATTTGCAATTAAAGGTACTAAGTAAGTTGATTTTTTCAGCACAAGTCAGGATAAGATTTAGTTTTGACATGAAATGACTAACACTTTATATGTACTTAAGACAAAAAAGCTATGAATTCTTGAATGGGTAGAATATAGTATAGAAAGCAATGGGACTATGTAGGCCTATGTATAAGTGGTGTTATTTCTTATGCAGCAAGAATCCTGCAATCTGATTGGTTAATTACCCGGGTGTAAAAAAAAAACCCTCTCTTTTTCACCCGGGGATAGAATTGTGCCAAAATTTCAAATTAATATAAACAAAATTAGGGGGAGGGGGATTGGCAAATTTAAAGATAAATTCAAAATTCAAAAACTATTGTTTTCCCAAAAATAGAAAAAGAAAAACATTTCAAATTCCCCTAAATTTGGTCAATGCGCAGCAACATCGGTGTCGAAAAATGTAGTTGAAGTTTTTCGTAAGCATTTTTCAATTTTACATCCCGGTATAACATTAGAAAAGGAACGTTAAATTTCATCCTGGTATCTATGATGAGATTATTTATTCACAAGAAATAAATTCATTATCTTGGTGTAATCAGGGTAGTACGGAATTTCACACAGATGTAAAATTCGGTACTACCCTGATTACACCAAGATAACTAATATTATTCCTTTTACCAATGGGTAGCTATATATATATATATATAGTACAATCGAATAATTTTAATAAGAACAGTCGTTTTGTTTTGATTTTGTTGAATTAAGGGTTTCTGTTATTAAAGGCAAATCTCTGTTAAAGGTTTTCACAGCTTTTCCAGACTTTGGTCGATTTGAATCTTTTCTTTAATACATTTAAAAAAAGAAGATGTGGTATGATTGCCAATAAGACACCTCTCCACAAGAGACCAAAATGACACAGAAATTAACAGCTATAGGTCACCGTACGGCCTTCAACTATGAACAAAGCCCATACCGCATAATCAGCTATAAAAGGCCCCGAAATCACAAATGTAAAACAATTCAAACGAGAAAACTATCGGCCTAATTAATGTACAAAAAATGAACGAAAAACAAATATGTAACACAGCAACAAACGACAACCACTGAATTACAGGCTCCTGACTTAGGACAGGCACATACATACAGAATGTGGCGGGGTTTAACATGTAAGCGGGATCCCAACCCTCCCCCTAACCTGGGACAGTGGTGTAACAGTACAACATAAGAACGAACTATAAAAATTAGTTGAAAAAGGCTTAACTCATCAGATGGATACAAATAGAAATACATATAACAAAAACACGTGGACGTGACCGGGTACTTGTACATCACAACAACAAAAAGACACTAAGTACAGATCTGAGAGTACTCACAGTTACTGACAACTAGTTCAAAGCCAATAACAACTAATATAAAAAATCATGCATGAATGATTTCGAGCGTTGCATGGTACAAAGACAAAACATTCTGTTTTATTGTTAAAGACAGTTTATCGTCTTAAATTAGATGTGCTTGGACTTTCACGAATAATTACTATCTTCTTGAATTCATACATGGAAATTAAGCAATGATTTCAGATCAGCCTATTGCTTATACTTATGATTTCACATCACCAAACTGCTTATAAGTCTTGAATATCTTGCGAAAGTTGCGAGCCACAAAGAGGGGGTTATACGATTTATTCACGTTTTGACGCAAGACATTTTTTTGTTTTGTTATATTTAAGAGATGTTTACAACTGTTATTTGACCACACAATGTACGATTTCCAGTATCTACATATAAAAAATTCAGAACTCATTTAATGTAGTTATTGAAGTTCCAAAACAGGGTAACTGGGGAATAGAAACATGGTCAATACAGGTCTTCTTCCGACCGACAGTAGAACCCTTAGAAAGTAGGGGAAACCCGTTTGGCTGTGCGGGATAAACAAGTACGCAGCCACGTCTGGTCAAAATAGGGACGTTAATCCGATGCCTCGTGCAGAGAGAGTGACACGCTCTCTGCACATTAAGAACCCTTGCAACAACTCTTTGAGGGGTCGGTAGGTGGCTGGTGGCAAGACAAAATTTCTGTTCTTATCCAATTTACACTCATTTTCAAGTGGCAGTCTAAATTTTCCCGACATTCCTCTCTGGCGGTCTTTATCACAAGACCTACCTATTGTATCTAATGTTTATTTGTTCTCGTCATGAACCTGCTTGAAATATTTACCCCTGAACGTTAATCAACCAACAATCAATTAAATTCAAAACAGCATCATGTATTAGTTCTTGATTGGTTAGTGTCCAGCAAGAAATATTTCCTTACTTAGAAAGGTATCACAATTCATGGACAAATGTTTTATCGATAGTATTTTTAACAAAAGTCATAGTTTTATTTTTCATATCAGTAACATAATAGATGTGGCGCTTTCATTTCTAGATTTTTTTTGCAGAAAACGTTTTCTTGATATTGATGCTCAAACTTTTAAAGTAAGGATTCTTTATCCTTCGTTTCATCAAATTTCTAGCGACCATCTAAGAACATCAAATACCAATTCTGTCTTTCATACTACTGTATTTCAAATTCATCTTTCTGCTGTTTGAAACTTCACAAGAAGTGAAACTTATCACTTAAGCTGAAGACATTATTGTTATTGGACGACTTGAAAACAATAAAAAAAAACATTTTTTTTTATATGTTAAGCTATTCCACTTAGAAATGTTTATCAATGCAAATCCAACAACAGAGTGAAGTTCCGAGATAATTTACCTAAGCACACTCGAGTTAGAGCACGATATGTTTTAAAATGTCTTCATATGTACAAGTACCCGGCCACGTCCACTTGTTTTTGTAGTATTTGTATTTTTATCCATCTGATGAGTTAAGCCTCTTTCAACTTTGATAGTTCGTTCTTATGTTGTACTGTTACACCACTGTCCCAGGTTAGAGGGAGGCTTGGAATCCCGCTTACATGTTTAACCCCGCCACATTCTGTATGTATGTGCCTGTCCCAAGTCAGGAGCCTGTAATTCAGTGTTTGTCGTTTGTTTATGTGTTACATATTTGTTTTTCGTTCATTTTTTGTACATAAATTAGGCCGTTAGTTTTCTCGTTTGAATTGTTTTATATTGTCATTTCGGGCCTTTCATAGCTGACTGTGCGGTATGGGCTTTGCTCATTGTTGAAGGCCGTACGGTGACCTATAGTTGTTAATTTCTGTGTCATTTGGTCTCTTGTGGACAGTTGTCTCATTTGCAATCATACCACATCTTCTTTTTTATATTAATAGTTCTGACTGTTAAAGTCTAATTACCCCGGTAAGACATTAACCGAAAAGGAGATCTCTTCCATTGATTCAAATATTTCATACTAATTTTATCAAATTTTATCAAATCATTATGTAGCTTTTAAACGATATGTGGACGGACGATCAAACATCGATTTATCACAATACGAATATTGATTTGTTTACAATGCATTTGCCATTGCCCATTTATGCCTGAGGCAAGAAATGTATACTTGTCCAGTGATTAGAGGATAAATATAATACCAATTTGAACATCAGACTCCGTGTCATAATTCCGATTGCACCTCTCATCCTGACAATATATAAGATTAGTATTAGAGTTAACAACTGTGGAATAATATTATGAAGATTTCAGTGCTATCCATCTTCTACTAAGAAATTAAAAGATGAAATCATTCATTTTTTTTTTTGGTATTATTTAAGACTTACTGTTTCCTCTCTATTTTAGCCTGAAAAATATGAATACCAGGTAAAAGAGAATGAAACAATAGAAATAAAATTGCAAAGCACGTTTCCAGTTGGGTGTGTGGTAGGGAACTCGGAAACAAACAGAAAAGCTTGCCAGTACAAAATGCACTTGACTTATTCAATGTATCAGAAGAAGAGCGATCCCAAAGACGATAAATATGACAAAAATACATGCAAGGGAAATGTTCAACAAGAAGATCTAGCTCTTAAAAGGCAATCGTGTAATATTAGTATTCCATGTTTTGCATGGAATGAACCTATCATCATAAATGTTACAGGATATATCAATGGCAGATACGATTCCGAGGACAGAATATCGTATTTAAAATTGAAAGGGCAAGATGGAATGCATACTCCAGGATTAGCTTCTCCTTGGGATGATAGTGAAACTCCGGAAATTAAGGTAAGTTTTTGATCTTTGATTGTCCATGCTAGATTTAGTCAATTGTTCTAGATCCTTGAATTATGTTTTGAATATGTGGTCATTTGATACATGCTTATTATGAATTCAAATCATGGTGGCTTCTGTAAAACTATTGAAAAGATTACCGACTTTACCATGTTTACCGTAAAGAAAAAAAAAACACAGTATGTCAAACTCAATGTCTGGCATATCACACCAAATAGAGGATATAAATTCTCCATATGCAGGTGCTGCTTGAATATTGTTACATAAAAATGGAATGTTTACAATGAGAAATCTGTTAAAGCTCTTAGCTGTAAAGTTTATTTCGCAACAAACCCTCATCCTTTTCTATAAGAACTGACTGTCTGTTGAAATAGCGTCAAAAAACATTAGAAATATTCTGTCAATAAAAAATCTACCACCTAGCTTGATGATTTGGTGCAAATATTCATACCATTATGGGAACATTTGGAATTTTCCCAATAGATGTCAATTAAAATTTAATCGGTTAGAATAGTATTATAGTTACATACGTAATGAACATTTTCTTTTGTAATAATGCACAGGAAACCTGAGGAATTAAGAAAATTTAACAGAAAAAGAAAAATACTCTTCAGTTCATCGATGAGAAAAAACATTTGATACATGTAATATAAAAGTAGAGACGAGCGAATGAGACAACTATACACCAGAGACCAAAAAACCAGGATGAAAACAATTAAACGTAATCGTAAGGTCTTCTACAATGAGCAAAATCCACACCGTAAAGTTAGCACAAAAAAAATGCCCAGGGATGACAACATTTGAAACAATTCAAAAGAGTAAACCAACAGCCTGGTTTTTATTCAAAGCAACACTAGTAAACTAAAAACAAATATGACAAACATCAATCAGCTACTACCACTGAATAACAAGCTTTTAACTTTGGACAGGCATATACAAAATGAGGCGGGATTACACATGTTTAAGAGCGTTTCAATCTTTCCCCCAGCCTTAGACAGTAGTGTAACAGCACACCATAAGAACAAAGTTTAAATATCAGTTGGTAAGGGCTTGACTCATCAGGTCGGCACAAAACACACAAAAAACTAACAAAAAGACAGAAAGAAAAATCACAAGGTACCGATCTAAGAGTACTTTCAATTACTAAAATCCATGTTCAACTAATTGATAAACCGTTTTCCCACAGAATAAAATGTCTACTATAGATATTTTATGGATTTAATGTATAACGATAAAACAGTCAGAAAAAAGCATGCTAAAATTAACATATCGACAGGATGTAGGTTCGTTAGAGTTTGTTAAGATGCATACTAGTAGTGGAACATATATGGTTGAATTAATGTTACTATCAATTACCGATAAAGACATTATTCGCTAATGCAGTGTTAAATTAGTAACTTTTTAAAAATGGTATTATACGGATTATGTCAGGATTTTGAAACATGAATGTGGGTCTCATTAGCAATAATACTCACATCTATTCATTTACCAATATTGAAAATGCATTCCATAGTTCCAACGAACAGTGCATTTGTAATTCATATTTTATGTTGATATAATGACCATAGTAAACACAAGGATAACTTTAAACAGTCTTACGTAACAACGTAACTATATATTACATTGTAGACACAAGCATGTGCTAATGAAGGCTAAGTTAACATTCATCTAATCTTTTAAAATAAGTACAGTAAGACTGCTTACTTGGACTCATATATATTAGACGCATGCGTATGCTAAAGATGACCAATATGACATTCATCTAATCTTTTAAAATAAGTAACAAAGGACAGTAAGACTGCTTACGTGGATTTGAATTATAAATCTATTTTACCTTTCAAAAAATGATGATTTTACTGTATGTCCCATCTCGCAAAAAGCAAATCGCAATTTAAACCACATTGTAGTATGCATCTGATTATACAAATATTGATTGATTCCTTCTTTTTGTTAGATTTTAGTTACCGATGTAGAACATACGATGGCTGGAAGAGTTTGTCAATCATACAACGACCCTCATTTTTACACAGCAGATAGACTTTATTGGGATTATTACGAACAAGGAGAATTTATACTTTACAGGCATAAAACTTTGCCGTACCAGGTAAGCGGTTTGGGTATCAAAACCGACTGACTGCCTTCTATGTATGTAAAACAAAAGTAATAAGGCAAATATCCATTCAATTTATATGACCATTTTCATATGTCTTCCTATCTTCAAAGTATCACAGTGTCATATGTGTACTTTGAGGTTCTAATTGTTAATATATATTATTGCCAATAATGTTTAAACCATCATTGCAGATTTAATAAATACTTATCTAATTTGAGTATCCAAAACTGTATAAAGACAAACAAGTCTTTTTTAATCAAACCAAAATTATAGTGGAAATAAAGCTATGTATTTGCTCTAATTCATAAATTGATGTGGCTCTTGATGAAGTTTTACAAACACCTTAAAATTAGCAATGTAAATTTTAAAAAAATCCGCCAAAGCGAATTTTCCTACTGCATATTTTTTTTATTTTATTTAAATACGTAAAAATTGATTAAAAACTTTTTCAAGTAAATTAAGAAAGACATGCCAGCTCCAGACCTCAATTGAACTGATTGAAAGATTATGTCTTCATCATATGAAAATCAAGCACAATCCCTCCCGTTAGGGGTTTAGTATCATACCATCATAAAATATATGAGAAGAACATAACCCGTATCATGCCAATAACTGGTTTTAGAATAAATGTGTGTATTTCCGATGCAAAGACCCTATGAGTGAATCAATATTAATACCAAAATATGCCATCTTTAATGATCTGACAACTGTATCATAACTATATCCCTTCTGAATAAGTCTGTTTAAAGGTTTGGTTAGCTTTTGAGGTGAATGTCGACATTTTTGTGCTTTGTATAGAATATTACCATAAAAGATTGGATGTGAAATACCTGAACGTATAAGATGTTTGCATATTGATTTATATTTACGAATGATGTCCTTGTACCGATGATAAAGTTTAGTAAATGTTTTGACTAGTTTGTGATATCGAAAACCCTGGTGTAATAATTTTTCAGTAATACAGAGATTTCTTTCGTTAAAATCAAATACGTTGTTATATACACGAGCGAATCGAACATATCTTTCATGATATATTCGTTTGACTTACGGATAAAAAAAATATTTTGAAGCTATTTATAAAGCGAACTATTGCGTAAATTTGGGTAAAAGAAAAGAAATATTTTATAACACCCATAAGTATATCAAAGTTACTCTCTTAGGACATTCAAGTTTGTAACCTCAACAGTTTTAATTTTTAAACTGATCCACGCCTAGATGGATTGATTACTATTTTTTAGATCATATATATATATATATATACTTAACGATGTAAACAGCTTAAATATTCAACCACGCAAAAAGATTTGAAAAATTCCAGTATGACCGAAACAATTCGATGATCCATTTAGGAGAAATTACCTTAAAATGAGGGTTTTTTACTAATTTTTGTGATTTTGTCAATTATTTAGAAAATTATAATAGATGGGTAAAAATTGTAAATAGCAATAATGACTAGCAAAAAAAGTTCTACAATTGCATCATCACTGAAACCGTTGAATGACCTTTTATAGGTTGCACTTCTGTAAATATAGACAATGCAATTTCCCATAGGAACTCCCTTTGCGGCTAAATCTGTGCCATTTTTACTAGAAGTTTCGTAAAAAATTATATCCTAGAACGGAAAGTTGATATCCACTACTAATTTTATTAAAAAATCAAAACATAGGGCTGTGCGGCATATTTATATGCCCCGAACTTTTAAGAGTTTAAACTTATACTAAAATTCTGTACTACCCCTACCTTTACTTTGGGTCTTCCGCAGAATTCAATTATCGCCGCTACCATGTGTTTTTATACTGGTAACATTTCCAAGTTATTTCTCTATGAGATGAAACATAGAGATCATATCTGGGAACTAGTACGTTAACAAAACAAAATATCTATGAATATTATATATCTCCCCAAAAGAGGCGTGGCTTGTGAAACAACTGTATTTACGAAGTGCAACCTATAATAATCGTTGACTTCAAATGACAACTTTAGACTCATTCGTATGGCTTTGCCGATTATCTCGAAAACAAAGATAAATAATAAGATACCGTAAGCAACAAATATTACCAACCATACAATAACTACAGAATATGTCATTTGACCAAAACATAGGATGGCTTATTGAAGAGTAATTGCCCTTAAATCATAAATTTTAGCTATTTTGGGACAAAATTTATGATAGAAAGAGAAAAACTATAATACGCAAATATGATCAGCAAAACAAGATATACAACAACAAAATTTTTATCATGAGTTATATTCTTGTCTTTAATGTTTTGGAGTGATCATTGTTGAATATAAACATATATCCAGGTAGCGACAGATAGTTCATAATGCGGTGACATTAACTGTTTTCACCATATCTGATTTTACAGGAAATCATATACTTGATTGTAGTAGACCTGTTAATAGCATTGTGTGTCATATACTGGATTGCATTAAACCTCTTTAGATTGTAGTATAGTAATAAACTTGTTTACAGGCGACTCGTGATCTATTATGTTGTTTTCAAACTATAATGCTTTATTTAGTGGCAAAAGCATACGCATTGTACTGGATAACTGTAGATTTGTTTAACTGCAATAAATCAAATACCACATATGAATGAAATACAGATCATGTGTCCATGTACTTAATAATGCTCTGTTCTACGTTTTAAAGACCTTTCGTTGTCGTTTGGTTTTGTCGTAATGAGTCACACCCTAAAAAATTTGAAGGCAGAAATGTAATTAGCTGATGTAATAATTAACATGACACATGAACTTTATTCACATCAGGATTAAATAAATAGAATATACATAAAATGGGAAAAAATCGCAAAGCTAGCACCCTAAAAATAAACCCGGATGTCTTTTAATGACAAATCAGATTCCGTTTTTCCTATCACTTTCCTAAATGCTTAGATACACTCTATTTCGTAGGATACATGTTCATTCAATTCACCTCGTTTGTAGAATTTGGTTTTATGCATAACAGTATATTTGTAATAGTGCTGGAAATGTGCATACATGCAGTAAAAAGTAAATCTGCAGCATTTATCTTTTACAGTATATTAATTGTTTAAAGCTGGGGTACCGATCAAATAGCATGGAACTCACCAAATTAAAAACTGCAAGTTTTCGGTGTCACAAATACCAGTCAATATATATCTGAAACTACTATGCAAGTCTTAACAAATTAGAAACTGCAAGTACTTGCTGTCTCATTTACCAAACAACAGACGATATTTGTATCTTAAACTTATATGCAAGTCTTAACAAAATAGAAACTGTAAGTACTTGCTGTGTCATATACAAACCACGCAATAGACGATATTCTTATCTGAAACTACTATGCAAATCTTAACAATCATTCACACCATGATTTTTAGGTCTACTAATACCGCTTAAGTATCTTTACTTTTTTTGCAGAAAACTCTTGTTTCATTCACTTTGGGTTTTTTTTTTTTTTACTCTAATATTCTAATTTTTACTCTTATGTTCTATATTGATTATGGCAGCAATGTTAGCCTTAAAATGTCAAGTGACGACAAAAGATCATAATGTAAAATAACATCAAATCAATAACAAATCAATAACAAATCACTTGTTATATTGAATATTATACATGTTTATTTTAAAACAAATATCTGTAACTTGAAAACTATATTGTTAAGCTTTAATGCATTGGTTTAACATATATTCTAAAGAACAAAAATCATATGTGTTAATTAATTTTGTATCAGGTAAATGCTCTTTTTGGAAAATGCAACTCTGTTGCATCATGTAATTGTGGAATAGCCATAAGGAGTGGTAGTTCAATGTTTGTGGTAAGAACATGTGATGAAATAACGAGGTACTCAACACATACGCATCCTCCTCTAATAGAAATGAGAGCCTGTGACGATGCAACTATGACTATTGAAGAAAACGGAAACACATACACGGTGAGAAAGATTATAATGTTTTAATTGGCTAGATTGTCGCCGTCTCGGAATAATTTATCTGCAATTTAGAAAATACTCGTTGGAGGGTATCAAAAAATATCATGACAACATGCTTCAAAATCGTAGGATTTGTAACCAACTCGATAAATGGAAAATGACTTTTTGTATTTTAATCATATATCTATCAAATTGATTGTTCAAACTTCGTTTGAAACAATCGAAAAATAGTCATCGAAGTAAGAGATAATCGCCGTCCTTGCATTTTGTTGAAATAATGTTAAAAGACGTAGGGAATTACAAATCTGCTTTTGGAAAAAAAGAATACTTGCGATTTCTACAAGTCTAAACCGAATAATTGCACCTGTGCTAGCTCCCCGTTCATATATTTAATCATTAATATATAAAGAACAACTTCAAAGTATTCATGGATTCAGTCAGAAATCATACAAGGCAATGGGCTGAACGCGGAAAAATACTATTTCTGTGCCTAATACAAAAGTTGAAGAAATATTAAAAACATATTTATTATCATGATTACTGAACTCTTATTCAAAAAAAATTATATTATCTATAATCAAATTGTTCATTGACTGTTTCAGGCTATCTAGGACCACTGAATTTGAATATCAAAAAAGTTATATAACTATTAAAAAATCACTCATTTAGATGTTCACAACACATACGTCTGACAAATATTAGTTTTTTAAGTTTTGAATTACTTCAATTTTTATTTTGTTCACCAAACTTCTTGCATTTGCAACAATACAGCAAAAAACGAAAACATTTCCTCATTTAAGACCACAAATTGTCTTAAACACAGATTTTATTAAGGGAAAATATCTTTTTTTGATCAAGTATTTGCCCATATGAATTTTTTTTTATAATCTATCAGTTGGTTTGAATGGTCTCGAACGACATAGTGATTTCGTCTTTCTTTTGAATATTTTGCCATAAAAGATATGTATCAGAAAAAAATGTTGCAATTTCTCGTTGACTTAATTTAAAGAGTGTTGTTTTACTAAGATATTTAAAAGTTTTTCTAATCTCCTATGAAACATACAATAATAGAATTAATCGAAAAAGTACTTAAAATAACGTTGTCCTTAGCAACATTAAAACTTTGTTTTGTAAAAAAATCTCATTACCACTCTCATTATTTTAGAACAAACCTATAGAATAACCACCCTAGAGATGTTTTAACCACCACTCTGAGTGTGTTTGATCTATTTATATGATCTGTTGACATGAAGTATCATTTATATGTTCATGTTTTCGTACATTTATTATCTATAACTTGTTGAATTTTACAAAACGCTAAGCTCTTTCTACCCCGCGGTTTAGATTGTCCTAGCTTAATTTGGTCCACTTTTTGAAATTGTCGGTTTTTAATGTTTTATGTTTGATTTTGCTTTCCAACTTTTTTGTTCGAGCGTCACTGGTGAGTCTTATATAGACGGAAAGTGCGTCTGGTGTACACAATTATAATCTTGGTATCCTTAAATTGACGAGTTTTTATAACCACTAGGTCGATGCCAAAATTGGCGGACGTTTCGGAGGTTTTTTCTACCACTTGGGATGGATTGTTTTTTAAGTTTTTGGTTCTTAAAGCTCCTCAACTTCTTATTTGAGTTGGCCTCCATCTGTTTTTATTTAAGCGTCACTAATAAGTCCTGTGTACACGAATCGTGCGTCTGGCGTACAAAATTATAATCTTATCTGTGGAGAGCTTTTACAACCACTGGGTCGATGCCACCGCTGGTGGATGTTACCCCCATTGTTGTATCACCAGGCTAGTCAGCACGTTTGTGTTGAAATGAATATATCATTGATATCAGCTGTAAATTTACTGTTAATAGAAAGTACAACTATTCAAAACATGCAGGTTTTATTTGGTATTAAGTAGATGTGCGTCTGGTGTTCCAATCATAATTCTGGTATCTTTGACGAGTTTTTAAAACGCTGGTGGCCGTTTCTCCCTCTCCATACCACATTGGCCCCAATTCAGTATTCACCCCTTTAGCGATCAAATGAAATTTTATTGATATGTTTTTTTTCTGTAAATTTACTATTTATTATTGTTGAATTATTCGTAAAAGTCTGGTGTATTCCATCACTAGGTAAAGCAGATTTTTTTTACATTTTCGGCATTTAAAGCTCTTCGTCTACTTATTTGATTTGACCTTTCATCTAATCTGTTTTGATTTGAGAGTCACTAATGAGTTTTATGAAAACGAGATTCACGTGTAGCGTACAGAATTATTAATCTTTGGTGAGTTTTTTCTTTGTTTTTTTTATTATATTATTGTCCCACACGTCTATACAAAATATTTCTTTTTAGAATATCTGTACAGTTGATTATTATTCCCATTTGAAATATGTTCCCCTTATCTATTTAGTTATTAATTCATTTTTAAAATGGAACATTTTCGTTATTATGAAATATTTCGAAAAACATATTTTCTCTGATTAAGGTCACTTTACCTTCTGGAACGGAGATCAAATTTTCCACCTATTACTACTATTGGATGGGACACTTCATATCACATATACAGGTCAAACCATCAATACTAGATGTTGAAAATTCAGAAGGTCTGTGTGGTAGGATTACAAATGGAACTCGAAATAGTGCTGACGACTTTACTTTAAGAGATGGAAGTACATTACATCCTAGTTACTATAATGGTTACACATTTAGTAGGAACTGGAGGTAAGACCATTCATAAATGAATATATCTACGTCTCTATTTATATTCTAATGCCAGGAATAAAAATAAACATGCTTAACATAAATTAACTATATTTACATAAGGGTTCTAGAATTTAAATTGCAAGCGTTATGCGTGCGTAAAATGATTATGTTTCATGACAGAATATGCTATAATACTTAAAGAACGATTTTGACGATTTACAAAAAACCCAACATTTGATCAAACTGAAGGAGATACAGGTTAGAATGAACTTGATCTGTTTTTCTTAGGTTGTTAATATTAAAAAATCAAATCAATGTTTCCTGTTAAAACATATCCAAGTCACCAGGCTTATTGTTAAAGAGTTTGTTACGTAGTATGGTTTCCTATGCCATATTATATTTTCGTTGTTGTTTATTTACAGGGTTAAAGAAAACGAACATTTTTTTGTTGATAAACCATTAATATTAAGTGAAAATATTAATCTTCGGCAGTATTGTATCTGCGGTGATAGTACTCCAGAGAGGGAGACTTTTCGTTGTGGTTTGGAAGCGCCACTACAAAGTTGTTTATCACAAACAGCTAATGCAGGAAATTTTCATACAACTTGCTCATTATTGCGACGTAGGCGGTCGATAAATGGCAATGGAACAGTAAGTGCAACCGACAGTGATGATGTCATCGACAACAAACAACTGATTATTGCAGACGACGACGAACTAAACGGTGAAATTCCACCAGAGACAGTAAGTTTATAAGTTTTTTATGTCACAGAAGGATATGTTCTGTTTAGATTTTAAGATACCAGTATAGCCGTTTGTTCTGGAAAGAATCGTGGTTCGTTTGGCAATTGACGATAATATATCACTAGTGTAAACCCGGCACTTTTTTTTTAAATTTCAAAAATATTTTATTTGCAAAAGTAGAACAACCGATGGATATTTATATATCATTAATCCATTCAGAGCATACAATTGAATAACATTAAATAGACTAATTGTTCTGCACCCGTATATTTTATGTGAACATTCACGCCTGCATCAATTGTGATATGTAAACGCCATGCGATGGGAAAGGATTAATTGATAACTGTATCAGATTTGAAGCTTTCCGAACGTCCATTGGTAGTTTAACTGTCGCAAATTGAGTTAACCTGGTGACGCATATCGGATATTTTCGATAGTAAAACTACCGACGGACGTCTGCAAAGCCTGAAATACAATACTCATTATTTTTATGCGAAACAAACAAATCTTTCAATTTTTGTCATTATTTCGGTGTTTATTTAAGGAATGACTGTAATATTTTTTCTGTCTATGAAGAAATAACATCAAAAATGTGGTGCACACTGAATAACCCGCGTAGCGGGTTATTTTAAAGTGTGCAACACATTTTTTATGTTATTTCGAATAGACAGAAAAAATATTACAGTCATTTCTTATAATTTAATTCTAAATTCCATTTTAAACCTGAGTAAACCATGAAAAAACGTTGATAACGTCACGGTCACATGACAAAATTATGTCTATGAGCTGATAATCAAAACAACGTCAGCCAATCAGAAGACGCGTTACATCCAAAATTAAATTATTTAAGGAATGACTGTAGTACTTTTTCTGTCTATGAAGAAATAACATAAAAAATGTGGTGCACACTGAATAACCCGCGTAGCGGGTTATTTTAAAGTGTGCACCACATTTTTTATGTTATTTCGAATAGACAGAAAAAATATTACAGTCATTTCTTATAATTTAATTCTAAATTCGATTTTAAACCGGAGTAAACCATGAAAAAACGTTGATGACGTCACGGTCACATGACAAAATTATGTCTATGAGCTGAGAAACAAAACAACGTCAGCCAATCAGAAGACGCGTTACATCCAAAGTTAAATTATTTTTGATTAAACGAAAATTTCGCGAAATGATGTTATCTTCTTTTGAACCTAAGCTAGGTGACGTCATTTGTCAATTTGATTTAAAGAAGAGTTTTAGGTGCAAAAGGTCAGTTTTTTGCTTTTTATTGGAGAAATTACGTGGCTATACATTCATGAATCAAATGTTGGCTTCCCTTAGTTACTGACATGTAGAAGATAATTTTACGCTGATTGTCATCCAGCCAGAACCACTTATACAAAATAATTGCTTTAGAAGGAATGTTAACGCGCAATGTTAAGCTGGCAATGGGATGCTTGGAATCATCACGTTCGTCATAAATTCTAATTTCAAGTTATCCAAATAAGTGTATACCCCCCTACAAAATATGATGCAGACTTTAGTTTCGATAGTGTCTTTTTATTTCAAGTTAACCATGATATACGAGTTGCAAGAATGCGTTGAAAAGGAAGGTTATTGAGTGACAGTGCTTCATCAATATATTATAAAGTGAAATTAATGATTATCATGTCTTTGAGAAGGATTTTTTTTAAGTCTGTTTGATAACACGACAGACAGCTGGAGTGAACAAAATAAGTTCCCATTAGAATATATACCGACTATTTATTGAAAATCAATCCACCTGTCGATCAAAAAGTCATTTTGAAGATTTTGTCGGTTTGTTTGTTGTTGAAAATTTTTATCATTTATTTTTCCTTTGGTTTGATGTGTAGTTGGCTACTTTGCAAGCATATCCCTTATTATTTTTATATGAAAAAACATGCTTTAATTTAATAACATCAGCTGTCTGCATACACATCATTCGTTTTTAGAACACTGAATGGCCAGCAGGTTGGACAAAGAATTTGGCCCAATCAACCTGTGAATCAAATTTAAAGAAAGAAATACTTGAAGAAGCACTGGAAGTTGCACATACTTCAATTGATGGTTATATCAAAACGTGCATGTCCGATATTCAGGTAAGTATCCAAAGCAAATTGTTGCTTATAATTTAGGGTAAAACAGCGATACAAACAAGAAAATGTTATATTTTTGTTTCGTTGTCAGTTTTTATGGAATTTCCTTTTTTTGAATGTACCTTGAATATTTTTGTTATGACATTTTTTAAGTGCGTAATAGATTTTGTACTTTTGGATGTGAGTGTCATGCAATCCATCACCCTCCAACGCATATCATAAATCGTTATCTATATTGAAAGCAGTTCAGATTCACACCCATAAACCAAATAGATATTCTTATTTTTCTTTACTAGAGAGACTGCTAGAAACGAAGGAAAAACAAAGTTTTAGTCCAAATAAGCAATTCCGACTTTTTGTTCACCAAGCTTTCTTCGCAATACATAAAAAAATCTTTTTTATTGCTTTGGAACATTGCCTGTGGTCATTTTTTTTCTAGTTTCACTTGATTTAAATGAATTGAAAAATAACATTTGTTTATTTCAATATGCAGTTCATTGTATTAGTACCTTATTTAATTTTATCATGAAAATGTTACGTAGTTTATCAATGAAACATTAATTTTCAGTTGGCAGGAGACACCCGATTTCTTCAGGACACCATTTCTACTGTTCGTCAGACTGTATATTCCGAAATTGTGAGAAACCAGTCATTGTTTACAAGAAATAACACAAATGACACAACGTCAGATTCAACAATGTCTGTTGCAGAAATGTTGCTTAGTGGACTTTGTAGCAACAACTGTAGCCAAAACGGAGAATGTCAAAATGGTAACTATATTTTATAATTTGGTTATCAAAATTGAGAATGGAATTACACTACATGCTAATTCATTATGCGATTGAAAATAAATGAAATTGTAAACACGGAACAGGGTTATAACAAAGTATACTTATTTGTTATAAATGATAAACAAAATGCATTCTGTTACATTCTCTTATCATTGGATATATGAAGGTGCATTCCTTTTTAATTCATACTACATATCTTGAATTTAAATAGAGTGACAAGTAACCTAATGCAAAAGCTGATAGCTCATTCAAGATTTCGCAATTGTGTTTTGTTTGCTAACCGTCCAGTTGCAAATATGTCATGCATAATAGAGACGAGAAAATTTACAATTTACACAATAGAAAGATTATCAATGTAGGACACTGGGTTAAAAGACTGGAATCGCTCCATATGAGTCATCGGTTCCCATTTCGACCGGATGTGGCGAGTATAAATCATCCCCACAGCCAAATGTGGCTCCCAATTTAAACGAGGGTTTTGCTGCAAGACGGAACAACTCAAATGAAATAAAAAGTAAAATAAGCCCAGAAAAAGATAAATGCAAAATTCTACTTCAAATTAGATTCCTTTGATGTTATATTTCACATTAACTCAAAGTTTATCAAATTGTTTAAGGGATATGCAAGTGCAATACCGGTTTTGGAAAGGAAGATTGTTCAGAAGACCTGTCCACGCCTCCATCAAACATAAGTATACCACTGAACGGAATATGCAATACAAGAGAGAGATTGTGTGCCAAAACAAATATTCAAGGCGTTTTCAGTTCAAGGAACATAACATGTCTATCGCGACATTTTCAGGTAAATAAAAGGATTTAGCAATAAAAAATTTAAATAAACATAAATATGTCGTGTCACAATCATGCATCTTAATCTAAACGAAATCAACTCATATACCGAACTGTTATGTTAATTATATCATATATACTGTGAATTTCTTGTTTAATTTAAAGTTCGTAAATAAACTCATCATAGATACCAGGATTGAAATTTTATATTAACGCCAGACGCGCGTCTCATCCACAAAAGACTCACCAGTGACGCTCGAATCAAAAAATATTAAAAAGGCCAAACAAAGTACGAAGTTGAAGAGCACCGAGGACCAAAAATTCCTAAACGTCCCGCCAAATACAGCCAAGGTAATCTATTCCTGAGGTAGAACAGCCTTAGTATTTCAAAAATTCAAAGTTTTGTTAACAGTTAATTTATAATTATGAACATAGCAATGATAACTCAAGTCAACACAGAAGTGCTGACTACTGGGCTGGTGATACCCTCGGGAAAATAAATCTCCACCAGCAGTGGCTGTTACACTCTGTTTTACATCCTGAATTTTATTTCCGAAAATGATTTTTAAGTATCTAACATACTTATTGTCATATATAAATATAAGAAGATTTGGTATATAAGATATGTTTATAATAAAAAAAAATGTTGTGTTTAAGAACGTGAAGTATGATCTATTTATATACATGATTTGGATCACCGAATTATAATAAACACTGGGAAATCAGTTTGAAATCTATTGTAACAAGAGATAGGTGTTAACAAAAGGATATTATGGGTAAACTTTAATGAGACAGCAATCCAAATGACAATGTAACTGAAAGATATATAGAGGTCGACATACTATTTTCAACAAGTTTGACTGTGTCTATACAGTTATGTAAAACTCATAATCGCCCGAAAAAACAAAAGTTCACAAGACTCACAATCTCTGACTTAAATCATTAAAGACCCGATAGGGTATAGGATGTGATTGATTAATTTTAAAATCATTAGTGTACACAAATGAACATTTGTAATCTTTTGGAATTAGATAAGGAATGATGGGTCTTGGAACTATACTGCTAGTCAACAGATGTACGCTGCTGAATATAAGAATACGTATCTAGTTGCATGTGATCTGCCTTCATCTGGACGACGAAAGAGATCACTTTCAACAACAGTGATAGCAGATGGATATGAAATAAATTTGTCAAATGATGGAACTAACTTTGGCGAAGACGTGAAAATCATAATTTATGACCAAGATTGCTTTTCCTGTGACATTGCAAATCTGTCATGCGTCTCTCTGGTAATGTAAACTTATCATTCACAATTGTCAAAACCTTCCCGTACCACTTCCAAACTATAAGAAATTTCAATTTGATTGTTAGAAACATCTGAATACATTAATATACAGCATATTACAAATGAAAACAATACTCTATAAATTGCAAGCTTCCGAATCGCTTTTCTAAATTTACCGTCACCAGGAACACTCTGGTGGAATGAAACTTAAAGTTTTTAATCAGTTCTAAATATAAACGAATAATTTAAAATAATTATGACTATAATAAGAACTGGCAACTCGAACCCTCTTACCTGTTTTCCATTGATATAAAAATAAGTTTAACTCGTCCGGTATCCAGGTTGAATGTTCTTATTGTCTTGTTCCTATGATGATTAAATATCCACATCTTTTCACTTTCACTTAATTAAATCCGGGAAGACGTATAAATAGGGGAATAAGATATTGACAATTGTACTTTTCTTTGATTGATGAATTTGATTGCCCCCTTTGTAATTTCCTCTTTTTAAAACCAATTCAAAACTTGAGGTTTAATAATTGAACGAAGGTATATAAATCAAGAACTCTTATAGTAAATAGGCAGAGGATAAGATACTCTGAAGCAATCATGATTTCTTTATTTTCCTCGATTTTTTGTTTTGATTGTTCTTGAGAAAACTTCATTGTTACTACATGTACAAGTATATAGTATTGTATTCCCTTTCTTTATCTCATAAATACATATAGTATTTGAAATGCATCGAGAAAAAAATAACAATGAATTTGATATGTTGGTACAGGATTCATGTCCAGACAAGTTAACTTCTGCTTCTCAAACCAGCTCTATTGAAATTGAGGGAGGAGGTAGTAGTCCAGCTACGACTGATACTGTATCAAGTACGACAACTAAAGCTAAGACGTCGACAAACATGAAGACGACAACAATCCCTTCAACATCAACTCCTTTCATTGGTAAGTTTTGAAGGCAAACTTTCATCTTAATATATATTTTGATAATAACTAAGAAGCAAACAAACGTGTTGCAGGTATTTGAAGACTAGTGAACCATCAACCGAATACGATGAATATACAATCTGGTAACTTTTCGAATGATTCCTACTCTTCTTTATAACTCTTGTGAAGAAGTTGTGTAAGGAGCACCCCTACTAACGAAACCCATGCACCGTGAAAATACGAGAGAAACGTATCAATTAAAATATGTAAATGTCATATGAAGGGTAGGCTACGGCTGAAAATGAGATGTTGTCATAACCGGATAGAGGACACCATCGGTAAAATTACAGAAAATAACTATCGCTAATTTGTTGTGACACAAACACATGGTATCGGTCAGTCAATTCGTAAATTAAGTAGTATCGATTTTATTCGTTCTTCTTTATAACTCTGTAGAAGAAGTTGTGTAAGGAGCAACCCTGCTAACGAAACCCATACAACGTAAACATGTACGAGAGAAAAGAATCAATTAATATACATAAACGTCATATGATTGGCAAAGGGTAGGCTACGGCAGAAAATGAGATGTTGACAATTTGAAATTTGAAATCATTGAGTTATCATGAATTCGCCGATACGTGTCAATTAAAGTCATCGCTAGTTGTGACTTTTTATTGTACTAATACAAGTCTCCCTTCGAAATTGAAGCAATTGAATATTAGTATCATAAACAGTTTCTTTGTGATATACTTACAAAATGTAACATTGAAGAATATGTAAGCAGCTTAAAACAAATATAATGTGTAGGCACATATTCTTAGAGAGATCTTTGACAAATATTAATAAGTAACAGGAGAAAATCAATATAGCCTTCAGCATATACATATTAATAAAAAAAAGTAAGGAAGCGAGATTCCTAATTTTACTAGCTATGATTGCAAAATACTCAGTTTAGAGCCAAAAGAACAGTTTATGTTTCGAATATAAGGATATAGTTATGTCGGAGATGTACTCAAACAATGTTTTGTACAATTTATGCACCAACCGCCATGCGAATCCACACAAGGTCAAAAATTCATTATGGGGACATTACATTTATTGGTTAATGTACAAATCAGACGACGTATCTGCCGTCCAAATATCTATTGGTGGTTGCTTTCGATTCCCTGTTAGGGTCAAACGGAAAACTTGAAAATTGACATCAAATATCTCTTCACTACGATCGAAGCTTCTAGAAGCTTTTGTTCAGTCGACGTCTCGGGGTCCAAAAAATTTGGATCACCATCACCATTCGCATCATAATTTTAAAAGTATCTAATATATGCCTCATATATTTTAACAGATAATGTGAACAATTCAAGTAATTCAATAGCAATAGTTGGAGGATGTTTTGGTGTTTTACTGTTTATGGTTCTGGCAATTGGCGGATTTGTTTTCTTCAAAAAGAATTGCAAGAACAAAGGGTGAGTACAGTACTGCTAAAATATGGTGAACTTGTTAAGAAGAATTTGCTTAATTGAATTGTGCCCAAATGCACACTTTTTTTAAGATTTTTATCATAATTAACGTACATATATACAATACACTGAAAACTAAAATTTCAACATCAAATGAAACTCTATGTGTAACTTTATTTGATATGCATATTTGACGAGTTTACTTAGGGAGCAACCATTTCACTTTAAGAGAGGAGGGAGTTAAGGTTTTTTGTATGAGTCAGAAATATTTTTGTTAGATTTTCGACGCTATCAATCAAATTTTTTTTCTCAAAATTAAAACACTATAAGACATGGGGAAAATCAGGATTCAGAATATTTTTTTTTTGTCATCTGCTTGACCAAAACATTATTTTTCATCTGATTGGGGAACAATATATTCATTTAGGAAAAACATAACTCCCCACCACGCCCCCTTGAAATTAAATTGTTGTTCCCTTAATAGTACGATATCTAATGGAAATGATACGCTTGGTCTTAAACGTAAAGATAGATAGTTGTCTCATTGGCAATCACACCACATCTCCTGATTTTCATATTATTAAAGCCATAGTTAGACTGTATTATTATGTAAATTTTTTTTGATTAATTTGATAGGGTGCAACATGTAGAGCAGGATCTGCTTACCCTTCCTGTTGTTTTATGTGGGTAGTTTTGCTCATTTTTTAGTTTTCTATGTTGTGTTTTGTGTACTATTGTTTGTCTGTTGGTCTTTTTCTTTTTAAGCTATATCTTAATTTATATGCCTTTTAGTATGAAATCGTTTGCATCTCTTAAAATTCATTCCACCCATATTTTTTTTTTATTTCAACGTTGTGTATTATTACTTGAACTTTGACTGTAACTTTTTATCAATTATAATAAATTCATTTTGTAGGCATGGTATCGAAAATATTATCCATGAGTATACCGATGACTTTTCAAAAGGTACTAACAAGTCAGATAAGCCGCTAACCCAATATCAAAGGGAGAACACAAACGCATCTGTGGGAAATCTTTCCCTTGATTTGGAAACTGACACATATTCTAGACCAAGAACTCCCGTGCAACTTTTTTATGCTGGAAAATAGCTTTGTAGTTAAATTTAAGTTATTTTGTATCATCATTTACTGTAATTAGTGTGCATAATAATTTCCCCAATCTATCATGTTTTTCCTAATAAAATTGGAGACTATCATTATATCCTTTTCCTCATTTTGAACGATACAAGTTACAAAATGTAAATATTGAAAATTATATTCTTTGAACAATCAACCATTATAGTTGGAATACCAGTGTTTTCAATCAAAATACAATCATTCTTTGTTCTATTAGGCCATTAACTGCAGAGATAGTCTGTAAACGTACACCTATAAAATAGCATCACCGAATGAGACTTATCACTAGATTTGTATTTGCATGAACAACACAACGGATGCTACATATAGAGCAGGAACTGCCTACCCTTTTGGAGCTACTGAGTTTTCCCCCGGTTTTTGATGGGGTTCATTTGCTCAATCTTTAGTTTTCTGTAAAGTGTTTTTGTACTTGTTCACCATTTTGTCGTTTTACGTTTTTTGCCTTGGTTTTGTCGGTTTATTTCGAATTACTAGTTTTGAAAGTCTCCCTGGTATAAACCCTCTTTTGTAACTGTATTCTTAAATCTCGTTGACCAAAAATAAGGGTATATTGGGTAGGGGAAGAACATTCACCATGCAACAGGCCACCTACGGACTCCTCAGAGTGTTGTTGTAAGGGTTGCAAATTAGTACAACTCTTACAGCCAAACAAACGACCCACTTTTGCAAGGGTTTAACTGACAGAACGGGAGTAATATATTGATAACCATATCTATATACCTAAATCTACACGAAACGATCATGTGCCTTTTTTGTTATATGGCATGTAATGAATTTTTGCATTTTTCTTTTTATTTCTTCACTAAATGACATTAACTGTTTAATGGTTCAATTGAATGAGTATTATCAAAATTACGAAGAAAAAAAGAAACGATCATTTTGATCTTAACATAATTTGATAAGTCTGAACCATGAATTATACAGTAATGTACAGTATTTCATTCAATTTTCAGACTTAAGAATAGTGGTAAATTCGGGACTGTTCAGACAGTTCGCTTATAGTCAATTCGGGACTTTTCAGTAGCTTTTCAGACAATTCAGGATAATGTTGATGTGAACAGGTAAATTCCAACTGCTGAAAAGTCTGCACATACACAGATCAAACCTTAATTGACTGCAAGTGAAATGTCTGATAATCAGAGCATAACTGCAGATTTGAAAATTGACTTTACCACTGAAAATGACGTAATAATTCATTGTTCAGTCTTTTGAAAGCTGTTCAAATAAGAATGACCATTTCAGATCTGAATTCGTTTACCAGTTTAAAATGGTACAGTACATTTTCTCGTGTTTGATACCGTTATACTTTCAAAATGAAATTTTACGAGATACCTCTTGATAACAACGACGTATTATGCGACGTCCGTTTATACTTTTTTAGCATCTTATGTATTTATTTTGAAATTCTCAATGAAAGTCAGCTCATATGAAAATATGAAAATGCTTTGATTGAAATTTCAGAGACACAGATGCTCCTGTATGCATATATGTATGTCTTAACCATGCTCATGACAGCTTTGTAATTTTAAATTGTAGGGCAAGCACTCATATTTAAAAAAAATCGTCAAACTATCTTGACTTCTATTAAAGGGAAAGATTTTGTTATTTAGTCTGCAGCTTTATAATGTTAAGCTATAGCAAATAAGCAATTTTTGCATCTGCAGTGATGCCATTTCCTGTTTGCCGATATTTTAAAATTTTGCAACACAAATTTTGTTTATATTGAAGGTTCTATGGAAGGTAACAATTTTGTATTTGGTCTGCTTCTTAATAATGCTGGGTTGTAGCGTGAAAGCAATTTTTATACGCCAGTCGTCAGACAAGACGCATAATTGTATACCGTGGTCCATCCGTCCGTCCGTTGTTAATATTCGAACAATAACTAAAAAACACTTTCACCAATTTTTCATTGAACTTTGGCATTCCAATACGAACAAACTGTGCCCTTCTTCTTGTCGACTTGTTCCTTTATTAATATGAGCCTGACTTCATACAGGAACTTCTTAGGAAAAAAGAAAATGGTTAGCATTATCCTTTAACAATTCTTTCCGCTATATAGATAATGTTCTCTCACTAAATAATTCAAAATTGTGTGTCTATGTTGAACGCATCTATCTTATCGTACTTGAGATAAAGCATAAAACAGATACAGTTATGTTTGCCTTTCATCTTGCATAACACTTAGAAATTGACAATGAGGGTCGGTTGAATACAAAACTTTACGACAAAAGAGATGATTCCAGCTTCCCAATTGTGAACTTTCCATTTCTTTGTAGGAACATTCCAACAGCGCCTGCATACTTAGTATACTGTGGATTCATTATTATTCGTTGGATACCAATTTTCGTGGATTTCGTGGTTGCCCGGCAACCACGAATTCTAATGTCCAACGAATTACAAATTTTCTATGGATATTCATGCAGACTTTGGCAAAACCACGAAAACAAATATCCACGAAAATGCAAGTTTTCCTTATTCCACGAAAATTGGTACCCACGAAAATAAATGAATTCACAGTATATAATACTGTATTGCAGGGCTTGTGTTTCCTATCATGATTTCCTTGAAAGAAGGTTGGTGCTCACAATGTTCCAAGTGGTGAAGTTGAAATCACCTTTTTTTTAGTTTTACGGTCGCAATCACGAGTTAGTTGACCGTGATGAAATATTCGTTTCACGTATGATAGCGGAATATCACCTGTATCGAATTAGACCTATTACCGGGTTTGTACTAACATTATCAACACACGACCGGTGCAACATATACAGCAGGATCTGCTTACCCTTCCGGAGCACCTGAGATCACCCCCATTTTTTTGGTGGAGTAGTTTTGCTCAATTTTTAGTTTTCTATGTTGTGTTTTGTGTACTATTGTTTGTCTGTTAGTCTTTTTCTTTTTTAGACATGGCGTTGTCAGTTTATTTACGACTTATGAGTTTGAATGTCCCTCTGGTATCTTTCACCTCTCTATTATGTCTATTGACAGAAGTTCTTTCAATGTTTATAAATTTTAGATTTTACGATTCCGAGTTATGGGATTTTATTCATAAAAAGGTGGTTGATTTCAATTTAATTCAGAAATGCTTTAAGCAATTTTCAAGAATTTTGGTGAATGGTTTATCTATATTGTCATAAGTTCCCTTTCCATTTTTGAAATTGCTGAGTTAACGAACTTTATCAAAAACTGTCCATTATTTACACTCTGAACGGTTATAGAATTTTGTTCTTTGAAAAATAGTGCCAAATTATTCATGTTTTGTATCAATTGGTATCACTGTGAGTGCATGTCCTTTGTTTTGGTGGGGGTCTATTTGAGCTGTGCTCACAGTATTTCTAGCTTATCATATAATTTCATTTGAAGTAAAAAGACGAGCTTAAAGGACAGCGTATCATGCGCTCATGGCGCAGTCCTTGAGTGCAGACACTTCCTTTTGCCGATAGTTTGAAATTTTGCAACACTCATTATACAAGGAACATTTCGGATTTTTCGTCGCTTCCATTAAAGGGAATACTCAACTATGCTTCAGTATACGTTGATTGATTGGTTGGTGTTTGACGCCATTTTCAACACTATTGTATTGTTTCGAGGCGGTCAGTGCTAATTGATGGAGGATTCTAGAGTGACTGGAGAAACGAGGGACCTACGGTTAGAAAATGACAATCCTAGTAGTTAAGATTGGAATCAAACTTAACTTCCACGTACAGGATTCGAACTCACTACCTCACTGTTGACACAGGCTAGTGATACAGTTGTTTGATCGATGTCCCTTCCAGTAAACATGTTAAATCAGTTAATTGCATGCATCGGTGCAGGTCCAAATCTGTTCTTGGTCTTGTTTTTATTTCTTGTTTCTTTTATACTTGAACGTGTAACAAGAATGAACTAAGATAAATATGATATTTTGAAGTATTTTGATTAATAGTAACTAATATATATTGCCTAATAGTACTAAAAATATGGATCTATTCTGAATTGTGCTTTATTTGGGTTTTTTTTAAGGGTCACCCCCATTGAAAAGAAATTCTAAAATCAAACTAGCAAAGTAGGAAAAAGTAAAATTACAAAAATACTGAACTCCGTGGAAAATTCAAAAAGGAATGTCCCTAATCAAATGGCAAAATCAAAAGCTCAAACACATCAAACGAATGGATAACAACTGTCATATTCCTGACTTGGTACAGGCATTTCCTTATGTAGAAAATGGTGGATTGAACCTGGTTTTATAGCTAGCTAAACCTCTCACTTGTATGACAGTTGCATCAAATTTCATCATATTGACAACGATGCGTGAAAAAAAAAAACAGACACAATAGGTACAATGTCAAAAATAGGGGTACACAGTCAACATTGTGTTATCATCATTATCACTATAAAAACAAACAAATGTAACAAAGAAGCACAAAAAGGCAAACATCAAATTCAACATCCTCATTCTGCTTTTTTATTATACGATTTTATTTATCTATGTAAATCTACTCATAAAGGATGGAAGGTTTCAAGTACTGGCGTAGAATCGCGCGTTTGACGTCACACAGGTAGATATAAAATAATTTTGTCGTTCAAAGTATGACGGGATACATAAGTACAGAGTCACGTCAAATGGATATCACAACAAAACAGACTTAACAATAAAAGTAATATTAATAAAATTAAAATAATTTTGTCGTTTAAAGTATGACGGGATACATAAGTACAGAGTCATGTCAAATGGATATCACAAAAAAACAGACTTAACAGTAAAAGTAATATTAATAAAGACAAATATAAGAATACTATGACACGTTAATAAGATGATAAACAACGTCAGTACGCAGAATTTATACTTCAAGACCATCGTGTATTATTTGTGAAGTTCATACAGAATATATATCAACAAGGTCTTGGTACCTTCCGATGAACTTTTTTAGAGAAAGAACGAGTCGTTCTTTGACATACCCCTGGTTCATCAACTGTCTGCTCATACACTGGTGACGTTTTACAAAGCTCTTGAATACCGAATAAGTTGGGAAATGTATATCCCATATGCAGGTGAAGTTGGTATATTGCTACTAAGGTGGGGGAAATTGATAATTTCAAAATTAAAAACATCTCGTTTGTCATAGATTCTGATACTGAGATGACTGTGTATGTCAAATTCGAGGTATAAGTCTAAAAATGAGGCGGAGGAAGCCGTGTCTGATGTTTCTTTAATTTCTAGTTCTGGGGAATATATTAATGGAACCCAATCAGAAAAGTTCGGATTGTTAATGGAAAGAACGATATATCTGAAAGTGAAATACATAACCTGGCTTCTTTGATCTTCTTGTTTTTGACAAGTGTCTGAAGGAACTCCGATTCATATGAAAATAAGAAGAGATCGACAAGGAGAGGCGCACAGTTCGTTCCCATAGGAATGCCGACAATTTGTTGAAAAGTCTACCTCCAAATTCAACAAATATGTTTTCAATAAGAAACTCCATCATACTGATCACTTGTTCCTCTGTGTAGCATGTTTTACCCTTTTGTTCGCTATTAACAAAATATGCCTTATGGTATCCCAAAGTAATAAATTTATAGCGTATGCTACCATTCTTATGTTGAAAAGCATTGTGGGTTATTTCTTTTAGACGGTTTTTCAATTTCACATGGGGAATGGTGGTATACAAGGTTGAAAAATCAAAAGTTTTTATAGAACTAATTTCAGAAAAAGACCGAGATTTAAAATTATCCAGAAGTTCGTTAGAGTTTTTAAGAATCCACATATGGTTAATACCACTACGCGAGTAAACAGTTTCACAGTATTTCTGAAGACCCTCTTTCACTGAGGACAGAATTTTAGTCAATCTTATGGACAATTCTTTAGTGGAACTTGCAGATGAGCCGGCAATGTACCGTTGTTTGTACGGAATTTTGTGAAGTTTAGGTATCAAATACAAACAAGGTAAGTTCTCCGATTTGTTGTTCAATGCAATGTTCATTGAAGCCATGAAGGAATTATGATTCGCCAAAATCTCATCCTTGTCAAATGATATGCTTTTGTATGTGGGATTACCTGAGTGCTCATTTATTCCTGATTCTTTTACAAGACACTCGTAGTAATACGATTTACATACAAAGACAATATTATTTGAAGCTTTGTCCGCAGGAACAACAACATACTTATCATGAAGAGATGATAGACATTTCACAGCCTCTTTTGTCTCTGAAAACGGAATTTGGTCGATCATTCACACAGTTTTTTAACTTATGAATGCGACGTTTTAACAGAGACCTGATTGTTTAGGAAAACACACACACACATATTAATAACAGGCCGATAAACTAAACCTGCCAAACAGTTTAACGCCAATCTGAACACTTAAAACATTCTTTTTATGTATTTAGCTCACCTGGCCTATAAGGCCATTTGAGCTTTTTCTCGTCATTTGGCACCCGTAGTCCGTTTACACACACTCATGAAATCTTCTGACTCTTGGAGTTATTGCCCTCTTCATAATGAGGCTTACCATTTTTTGTGTTTTTGCCTGATATCTGAAAAACTATCATAGACAGATAGATACTTTAATAAGCAAAAATGATCAGCGAGACTTGATGTACCAATGAGTCATATTGCCGAAATCATCAGTCGACTCCTTGCTCTTTAATGACGATTTTTACTAATATTTTAGGTTTTGCCTTTTATCTTGAAAACGTCAATAGATAGATAGACACTTAAAAAAGCAAAAATGATCAGTAAGACAAGATCTACACAGAATTAAATTTTACCGTAATTAGTGATGTGCTATAAAATTGAAACCGATTAATAAATACAGGTAGCTCTTGTGAAAAAATATACAGATAGAATAAATACTTTATTCAAATGATTATTTATGGTGAGATGTATAAATATATAGATAGATGATAATTACATGTACATTTGTACACAGATAGATGATAGTTATAAAGATAGATTTTAATTATTTATAATGCGAGTTTTTTTGTCATCATTTGCTTTTTCCCCTACAAATGAGACTAAAAATTCGGGGCCCCCTTAGTTGCCTCCCTGGGCAACTTAGGGTTGATGTAACAGGTGATAACTAATGAAATATGTTTAAAATTTAAAAAAAATAATTTGCTGCAATTCGTCTACTATTTATAGGAATGATTGCTTTTATTGGTATTTTTTTTACCGTTTTTTGTGTTTTGGGCAAAGACGAAAGAAAATAGAGAGAAACTGTAAACAGAAAAAAACTTCACCAATAAAAGATAAACAAAAAAGAGATTTTGTCATATTTCTATTCTAGTCCAAAATGTTGGAAAGAATCCATTACTTAAGTTGCTCATAGACCTAGGTGAGCTACACAGGCATTTAAGAGCCTCTAGTTTATATTTTCTTTAACACACTAGTTCACAAGCCACTTTTTAAAATTCTATTAAAGTGAAAAGGTGTCTTCATTAATAGACATATATTTTCTAAATATAGGACAATATGTCAAACTCTCAATCGTCACAGGTCTATAACAGTGGATTATTTATAAAGTATCTAATTACTGAAGTATATTTGTGTTGGCTTTTAGCTGGAACACAAATAAAAACATATCAGGAAGTGGTCACATCACAAAGGTAAACATTGACCTGGTGTGAAGCAAATAAAAAATAATTTTAGTTATTCTATCGCTTCTACAATAACAATTTAGTCTTAGATGCATGATATTTTTTTATTAGTTGTTATTGGCTTTGAACTAGCTGTCAGTAACTGCGAGTACTCTAAGTTCTGTACTTAGTGTCTTTTTGTTTTTGGGATGTACAAGTACCCGGCCACGTCTACTCTGTGTTTTTGTTAGATGTATTTCTATTTGTATCCATCTGAAGAGTTAAACCTTTCTCAACTGATTTTTATAGTTCGTTCTTATGTTGTACTGTTACACCACTGTCCCAGGTGGGGGAGGGTTGGGTTCCCGCTAACATGTTAAACTCCGCCACATTCTGTATTTATGTGCCTGTCCCAAGTCAGGAGCCTGTAATTCAGTGGTTGTCGTTTGTTGCTGTGTAACAGATTTGTTTTTCGTTCATTTTTTTGCATATTAATTAGGCCGTTAGTTTTCTCGTTTGAATTGTTTTACGTTTGTCATTTCGGGGCTGTATATAGCTGATTATGCAGTATGGGCTTTGCTCATTGTTGAAGGCCGTACGTTGACCTTTAGTTGTTAGTTTCTCTTCTTTTTATATTTGAAACACTTCCTTCTCCGAAATTAATATAAACACTTTCTATTATTTGCTTTTTATTTCAGTTGTTAATGTTAATTTTTAAAAGAGATATATTTTAGACAACCATCTACAATCATAATATGAACTTTAACAAATCAAAACCTTCATTTTTAATTCAATTTAAATCATGTATTATATGTTAAAATATTTATTCAGACATGAAGAACTATATACATAAATTGATTTAAAAATCAAAGATAGTAGATTTAAAGTATGAATGGAAAATAGGGAACATAGCTACACTAAAAATTTGATAAGGATAAATAGTATTTTGTCTTCTCTATAAATTTGATAAATTGGTTTGTCCTAAAAAGTAAATCTATGATAACCAATATGTTATTTTCTCTGAATTTTTGGTAGAGGAAATAGTTTTAAAAACAACACGCTAGAAAAAAAGCAGCGGACCAGAAAGATCGTCTCATGACTCCAAAAATGTTACAGAATTGCATATTTCACTACAATATAAACTTACTGATAAAATATCGAAAATGAACTGACAACGACACGGCAAAAAACGAAAATGACCAAAGGACAAACAACAGTATATAAAACTAAAGACTTAGCAACAAAAACCCCACAAAATAACGTGTTCATCTCAGGTGCTCCGAATGGGTAAACTGATCTGCTCCATATGTCGTCGTGTTGCGTATGTAAGTAAAAACCCCGTAAATAAGTGAAATTCGGTAGCTGATATTCGAGGAAAGGGGTTGTGGTTACGACGAGTTAAATATATCCGATAAAAAGACATTCCAAAACGGTAAACCAACTCGTGTAACCTCCAAAAAAAATTCTGCGGGATGATTTCAGCTTCACCACTTGGAACTCTTAGTTTAATAGCTCCTTTTGAGCAGCAACCCTCTATGAGGCAAATTATGATAGGAAACGCAATCCATCATCAAAGAACTCTTGCATCAGGAGTTTGTGTCTTTTGTCTTTTTGTTAGTTGTGTTTGTGCTTCGTGTTGATCTAAAGAGGCAATCCCAACTGATTTTTTAACAGTTTCGTTGCTGTCTATCATAATCTACTTTCGTTTTTGTTTGTTTTTTAATTGTTTTAAATGCCTTTTAAAGCTTTAAATAGTGTATGGGGTTTGCTAATTGTGATAGTCCGCATGGTGACCAATATATGTTTACATCCACATAATTTGGCCTCTTGTTGAAAGTTGTCTCATTGGCAATCATACCACATCTCCTTTTTATATAACTATCATTTGTGAATGGTATACTGACAAGAGTAAATCTCTCTGTACTGCTACATTTTATTTTTCTATAAACAAACAAAAACGATATCAACAAAAATAATGTAAGCTTAAAAATGGTAATGAAAATTAAGGATCACAGAAAACTTTGCTCACACAGTCTCAATAAGAATGAAATAAATGTTATATTCAAAAATGAAACATACTTTAAAGTAGGCAAGGTCTAAAAGAATATTTTTTTAAAAACACAAAGAGTTCGGTATATGTATTCATGACATTTATGATATAACATCAAGGTTACATTTTGCATGTTAATGTTTGACAGTAAACATTGCAAATGGATCAACATTTTTACATGCAGCTTTTACCTCCCCAATGGTGACGTTTGAACATTCTCGACTACAATACGGTGGTGGTTTGTCCGGAAGAATTTGTGGTGATAGGCTAGAAATCGACACTCCGCGTTTATATGGTGGTGGACTGTCATCCGTTTTGTTACATTTCATTTTCTGTACGTTTCCATTTTGCGTCTTGCCTCCAACAAGATAATTTCTTAAATTACATATATGAAAAAGGTTGGACATTCAATGATATTATTTTCTAAAATCTAAGAATGAAGAACCGATTTGGTGTGTTTATTCAAATAATAAAATGAATAACAGAAGCTATTGATGTTAATAAAAAAAAAAACCCTGCTTACGATTTTGTATTAGTTTTATTTGTTTGAAATGATTGGATATAAAACTTTGTTATACAGCATCTGGAATTAATTCCGTATTTAAGTACTGAATTTGTTTCTACATTGAAAAACAAAAAAACTATGAGTTCGGACTTATGCTTTCCCTTCTATTGAAAAATAAAGTTTAGTTTAAGAAACTTGGTTGAATATTGAAGCTGTAATAATGATATGTAATAAACATGCAAAAAATAACATACTAGTATATTTGCGTTTTTTCATCACTATTTCGTTTAATAGTAAAATAAATTTAAAATGCATCTTTATTTGATCGTATCATTGTTGGCATATTGTGTTGTCATATTCTATAACGAAAACTTATATATTACTTTTACTAACCGGATTTTCTCTGGTTGTTTCGTTTTCTTACACAATAAAACGAGAATGACAATTGCAACAAGGACAGCAACTCCAATCGTTACTATCAAAGCTATCATTAGTATGTTGGCCTTGCTTTCTGAAATATTTATAGTTCATTTGTTAGGCATGAAATGCACGCTGGATAAAATGAAAGTTGATAGTTAAAGTATATTTTTTTACTTGGAACGAAATATTCTCCCTCGTAGTCAATATTTTATCTATCTCAATATATCGTAACCTTTTGTCACTTTACAAGATATATTATCATCCATGACATATTTTCAAAATCGACCAGTAGTTTTCCAAAACTGTCAAATCGGATTGAGAGGTCAAATAGACTTTTAGCATTGCCATGATTCTGTATTCCAATCTCTAAATGATATCTGAAGCAAGATATAAGACAATTTTTCATGATATAATGTATCTAAAGTAAATATTGATATCTTAACTGATAGAGAAGTTGTAAAGATCAAACATTAAACTTTTACAAAACGTTATCGACCAAATTTAGAACTGGATTATTGTACATTATTATGCAGTTACCCCTCCTCATCAAAGAAACTAAATTGTACATCGTAAAACTATTGTCTTAAATAGCAAGGGTATTACTATAAATGTACCTTCAGTATCTTTAACATCTTTAATACCATCCGAATTCCCTACTGCACATATTTCTGATGTACCTAATAAGTAAAATACATGATAGTGGTTTCTTTTCTCAAAAGAATGACAAGAAACTGTTGCTCGAACATTAAAATTCAAGTTATAATTAATTTAAGTAATTGTAGTTATGATTAATATATGAAAAGATTACAGGAATCACAAAAAATACTAAATAGTAAAATAGACTACACCAGCCACTAACATTTGACTCCTCCCCAAAAAAGCGTGCCTCCAGACACAAACAATAACAAATTTCAAATTGTCAAGATAGATTTTGTAAAGGCACAACTTGGCCTGGTAATAATAGTTTAACAGGTATAACCACCGCTGGTAAAACTTGAACAAACAATAAACGGCTACAGTTTGCAGCATATTTTTAAATAATAGAAAATGGACACATAATTTGGAAAGCGGTCAAAATGATTTAGAATCCTAGGTAGCTACAGCTGTTAGTTGGAAATTTTACCTCAACAAAATCAGAACTAAAACGCCGCTAAAATTGGCAGTTCAACGAAAACAATTATCATTTTAACTGAATCAGTGAGTATATAACGCCTGCTACGCTGACTGTTGAAAGATGGAAAAAAAATTCCGAATTAAAGACAAATTAATATGTTTTTATCTGTATAATTTAACGGGTCTCATCTTTGAATTTAAAGTTGTAGTTCTTACCAAAGCAGTATCCAGACAAAGCAATATTACTCCGCAACAGATTATATACAAAGTAACCTCCATCGCAGAGTTTGATGCCAATATTCCAGGAGTAAGTACAGTTATTTGTAAACGTCTTCATACACACTTTTCTTTGGGATTGCTCTCCAACACTGACTGGTAGCTGACCTTTTTAAAATGTTAACAAAGTAAGATAAAATTTGAATAAATTGTTTCTAGACACAAATTCCTTATCTACTTGCAACTTTTGCATTGTGGCATTCTATCGGAAATAGGTCTTTATGTTTGTTCGACCTATTCTTAAAGTGTGTATCATCAATTTATCACAGTACTGATAAGATCTGTAGATACATTAATGTAAATTAGTTTCTGATGGATAGATGTCTCATTGTCTGACATTGGCATTTCCTCATTTATTTATTAAATTTAACCTCAACTAAAAATATTTTACAAAATTAAGACTCTCATTTTATATGTTTAAAAAAATATTACTATAATGTAAAAATATTAAAATACATTAGCTATTGTTTTAGTATTTACCATCCAGCCAAATAGGATACCATGTTCCACATTGTAACAATCCTGGTGCGGTAATTGGCATTTTCCCACACTCATCCCTCTGAACACGATACCAACCACTGTCTAAAAGGTCATCACTGATGTTAACGTCTTCTCCAAATTTGAAAATATTAGCTTCAGCCCTTTTTTCTTGAAAATCTATCAGTTTGTGATCAATACATGGTTCAAAACCTTGAATATTGCAAAATAAATTCTAATTATTTATCAAATTGTGCGTGTCATCATTCGGTTTGATAATTTTTTCTACGAGACAGAAATACAAGGAGATCTGGGGTATGTATTGACGTAATGAAACATTCATGTGTTGGAACAAATACATATAAAAAGATATCGGTGTATGTCAGCATAGACTTTTAAGCAAAACAAAAATAAATATCTAAATAATATGTTCAGCTTCAAATAGAGAACATTTTTAGTAAATATTGACTTCCGTAAAGTGACATGTAATTGTTCACATCCTTGTTTTTTTGTGTATGGGTGGTTGTCATATTGGTAGCTATACCACATCTTATATTTGTATATATAGATGGTGTATTGCTGTTCTGAAAGCTCATTAGTACAAATATATAACCGACAGTACATGGGCGCACAACATTCCAAATCAAACGAAAGTCAAACAGAGGTAGACCAGGTGTATGATTCTTTAACAAAACATGTCCGCTGTTTCCAAATACAGCAGAGGGTAAGACTACAGTTTTGAATGTCATCTAAAAAAAAACTACTAGGGTTACAGCAAAATTCACACAAATTAAGAAATAGCAGCAGATCTTGATCTATCTACCCTTAAATGTATATTTCTATTGAGTTTCATACTTATCTTTCTATTTTCATGAAAAGTATAACAGATAGACAGAAAGATTAAGTTCAAAAATGTCAAGATCCACAAATAATTCAAATTAGCAGGTATCACCAGGCGAACTCCTTATAAAAATTATTGCCCTTTAAGGTCGATATTTTCCTTTTCTTGTTTCAAGCTTAGTATTGTAAATCAAAGTAGTCAAAGAGAAACAACTAAAAGGAAACCAAAAGGGTCAGCCACACAAGACAAAAAAATCAAAATGACCGAATCGGCAGTCAATTTCTTATGGTTGACTTGCCTTTCAATGACAGTTTTAATCAATACTTTGCTATAATCTTCAAGCTATAGGTGATAGAGAGATAACAATGAGCAACACGACATGATCCTAAAATAAGTCATTTCGATCAAACAAATTAGTAAATACATTATAGGAGCGTCAAAGATCCCAGTTTTCAGGTGTCTATCATCATCAATTCATAAGGAAAGGCACATTCAAATTCACTGGGATATATAGGATGTTAGTATTCACTGAAAAGATGAATTATGAGAGAAAAAGATATGACCAATACATCTAGAAGAGAAATAACGAATTTTATCAGGTACTTACTTACTTTTGTCTTCAGCACGGTTTTGTACATACATGCTACTACATATAGACAAATTATGAAACGATTTGCCGAGAAATTTAGCAGATAGCTTCTGAAAACATTTATTTTATTACTGATTTCCATCCGAAGTTGTACTAATTTTTTTTCTTTCTACTTACCTCCGACCTGGTTGTCAGTAACGCTAGTTTGTGTTGTGGTTGCCGCATATGTTGTTGTCAGTTCTTTATTAACAGCGGCTGTGCCTTTTTTATATAAATAATAAATATTTTATTGACAATATGTCTTACACAATTTTTGTATGTCAAGAATCTGACATCAATTATTTCAATTTTGTTTTCAAAGCTTCCTTAGAAAACCACTTCAAAGATCCCAGGGTTATGATTTAAAACACCAATGTTATTAATGTCATCATTGGGGATCGAGTAGAAACAGTTGGTAGGCCATATCAATAAAAAAAAGATATTGCAACCAAAAGTTTTAAAATTTTGTGATAGATCTGCTTGATTTGAAGAAAAAGTTTAGTATTTCATAAAACGTAACGAGGTATTAGCATTTTATTGTACCATGAGATAATCACAATCATAAATATAGTAAATTAAGGTTGTATTTACTGTTCCTGTATTTTTCGTCAGCATTTTGATTCATCGTTGTTCGTGCGGAATCCCTATAGTTGCTAAATGTAAAATAATAGTATTTCCTACTTAAAATTATTACAAGAAGATACATTACCGAAGCAGTATGCTGAATTTGCATTAGTACTTTCGACCAGGTTGTATACTAAATAATTTCCAGGACAAAGCTGTATGCCTATTGTCCAAGAGGTAAAACATTCCTCATAAATTCCTTGTAGACAAACTTGTCCTTCAATTTCTTCACCGACGTTGTTTGGGAGAGTCCCTGAAATAAAAACGATTGAAGCAAAACTTTAGACGACATGAAACTGTTTCCGCAATGGTCTGAAAAAGGAATCGAATCTAAGACCATGCCCTTTTAAAATGGAATAAATAACATAAGCAATATAATGCTACTAGTATATATAACAATCATACATGTTATGAACTTTTTAATATTATCTTACCATTTAGCCAAATCGGATACCATGTGCCACAATGAAACAGCCCTGGTGCTTTAGTTGGCATTTGCTCTCCGGCATCACTGTTAATCCGATACCATTCATTGTCAAGGAAATCATCACTTAGGGAAGGAACTATACCTAACTTCAAAATATTACCAACTGCTCTACGATCAACATTGTTTATTGTAGTGTAGTTAACGCATGGATTTAATTCTGAAAGTGTAATTAGAAAACATGGTGAAATCATCAATGATTTATAGAAAATACAAAAGTACTCGAAAATTCAGGTTGTTTGTATCAATATTGATTCACTGCCCTACAAAAGTCCTATGTCACAATGTAACATAATGATGCAATTAAATACAAGAGGAACTATACAACAAGTACGGCTTGGGAATGGGAACAAAAATCATTCTTATATAAAGATTTAGCAACTGATGGCGCTGACATGTGTTAATTTAATAATGTATATTAAAGGTGTTTTCTAAAGGGGTGATTTTTCGTTGCGATTAACATTTTTGTGTTGAAGAGTTGTACGACTATAATCAATGTTTTTGCTAAATAAGTTATTTCAGAAAAATATTTTTGATCTGGGATATTTTTTAAAATTAATTTATGTTTGCATGATTTTGCAGTTAAATTCTGGAACAGAGTAAAATGCTTAAAAAATAACTGCATAATATTATTAATATAATAAATTATTTTTATGATTAATGAACGTTGCATTAAATAATGAAGTACATACCATCAGAGGCAAAAGATGTGTCAGACAAAGCAATAGTGATGAACAGTAATATCTTCATGTTGTCATTAACTAAGGTATATAGAATACACTCTTTTATTTTTCCATAAGTTTGAAATAACAATATATCAATTAAGAACTAGAAAAACAATAAAACAAAAAGATATGATCCCTTCCTAGTTTGGTTATTCAAATAACAAATCAATTGAAAAACTAAACAATTACAGCTATTTAAACGATTGGCCTGTTTAACCAAACAGGACAAGGCATTTATTAATAAACTGAGTACCTATAATTAGTAAATTGAAAGGAAGTTTAACAAAAATCTACGAACCTTAAAAGTCTACAAGCAAACTAAAGCATTGTATTTTGTACAAATATATTAATATTTACAAAATCATTCAAGATACCACACTTATAGTTTTGTACGCCAGACGCATGTTCAGTCTTAAGACACACACAAATGGCATTTGAATCAAAACAACTTTAAGATAGATAAAATAGTTGAAGATCAACGAAAACCAAAAAAAATCAAAAAAGTTTTGCAAAATCTGGATAAGACCAAATTCGGTTAACAAATTGTAGAAAACAATTAAATGAAACAACTTAAAAAAGAATTTCAAAGTTAACTGGAATTCACACTACGGCAACATCGTATGTAAAATTTGAATCAATATGATTACATATTTTTGTTAATTCTAAGTGCATAAAGTGACCTCAAAACAGTATTTTTGGTAAATGGGTAAAATGCCAACTCTAAAATATTCAATTTCGTTTTCTTACTTTCTTTCTTTCTTACAACATGAAAGCGAGAAAAAAATATATAACGGTCAACCAACTCGTGATGGAGTCCCTAAAACATGCTATTGGATGCTTTCAACTTCACCACTTGGAACTCTTGGTTTAATAGCTTCCTTGTGAGCACCAACCTTCTATCAAGGAAATCATGATAGGAAATACAAGCCCTGGAATATCGTATCAACTAGGAGATATATACTCCGTATGCAGGCACTGCTGGTAAATTGCTACATTGAAATGGAAAGTTCGCAATTGGGAAGCTGAACTCATCTCTTTTGTCGTAAAGTTTTGTTTTCAATCGACCCTCATTGTTAACATAGTCAACAAATTGTGAATTATTTAGTGACAGAACATCATCTTTATAGCGGAAAGTAAAGTTAAAGGGTACTGCTAACTTCTGTTCTTTCTTCCTAAGCAGTTCCTGTATAAAGTAAGCCTCATATGAATCAAGGAACAAGTCGGCAAGAAGAGGGGCTCAGTTTGTTCCCATGAGGCTGCCGATTGTTTGTTGAAAACACCTCCTTCAAACGTAACAAATATGTTGTTAATCAAGAAATCATGCATATTGATAATGTCAATTTCAGAGAATTTTTTTTTGTTTGAATCAGAGTGATTTTTTACAAAGCAGGATTTATCCCTTCCTGAGACGAGATACTTGTATCTACGTTGTCCATTCTTTTTCTTGTACCTCCCTGTTATTATTTTTTTCTCCCTAATGGTGTTTGTTTTGGTTCTTATTTCGTCTACGTTAGTTTGATATGTATATTACTGTCGATGCGTCATGGATTTCAAGGAATTTATACAAAGAAAAATGGAAAGGAAAATACTTGTCCAAAAATAAAAGAGTATTAACTTCTTCATTGATTTTTGAAATAATGCATGCGAGTTACATGGGTTTTGCAGATAACTGCTGCCGGAAATTTCAAACTTTGATTGTGTGTTTATTGTTTGTAAACATATTAAAAGTTTGCAAATTATCAGAAACTATATTTTCTTTCAATTTCGCAAAATTTTTCCTTGAATGACCAAATGTTGATCTTAAATGTGGTATTATTTCCAATGGAAAAAATATCCACCAGGAACTAATATAGGTCACCGTACGGCCTTCAGTATGAGGAAGTACACAACTAATTCATGGCCCTATTGCTTTGTATGTTAAATTCATCAATTTCAAGCAGGCACAGCTCTTTTGTTTTAAGTTCAAATAAAGTGACAATCATTGCATGTCAAAGCAACACTTCATGGTGCCTTATACTGAAAAATCAACATACCTTTAATGGCATATAAGAAAGAACTGGTTCACGGAACTTCGGATGTACCAAAACAGGTACTCCAGATTTGACAAACAGGCAAAATGTACCCTCTTTTTTAAATTTCATGCAATTTTTTTATTATTCAAAATTATAGGTCAAAAAGTGTTTTACAATGATCACCAGTCATTCAGCTTTCATTTGATACCAAAACTACATAAATATTCTACATATTTTGAAAGTTACACCCATGCGTAGGAACTATTTTGTGTTGAATATTTACTACTTTCTGGTATGTGCTTTCTGGCCGGGCCCGAATTAGTGGTGTTACACCATGAATATAATCGTTACCATAGACCCATACCTAAGATCATTACTTATCTTATTCGCCAATGTTGGACACATTCAATTTAACCAAAAGTCATTTTCTCTTGTTAATTTGTTGTTTCATTTTATGAAAATAGTTTTAAAACATATTTGAAAAAGATTAGCCAGGATTTGAAAATGATATTTTATATGTTTTATAACATGCGTTTTATCATATATATATGTATTATCAAAAGTAAGTCTGTGATGAGTTAATTATAAATTTTTTACATACAAATGGTTTTTTTTTCAATATATAATTATTGTTACTGTAACATCAGGCATTTCAGGCATTGGAGGTTATGCTTATACAAGCTACATTTAAAAGAGCTGATTTGTTTTTGTATTTCATAGGTAATAAATAAAATGCACGCGAACTAAACATAAGTGTCAGCGAAATAATGAATTATGCAGCTTCAGAACATTTCAAGTTTTTTTTAACCAAGGTATTTTTAGTAATACATTGACATTGTTGTAAATATCGAAAAAATCAGTCACGAATCTGTGTCACTTATTCACCTATCAATATTGAATTACAGGAAAACAGTCACACTGTATTGAACAACTTTATAACTTACAAGTAATTTGATTGAGTGGCCTAATTTTTGTCTCCATACCGATTGGATTGCATTATTTGGAACAATTTCAATAAATGCGCATACAAGGAAGATTATATATTCGTTTGCTTGGAAACAGTGGAACCAGTGTGAAACAAATCTATTCCATTTTTAGATTGGTTTTTTAATTGTTAATTTTCTTAGTGTTTTTTTAATGTTTTTTTGTAGTTTTTAGAAGGTATTCTACTTTGAATGATAATATACCCCCTCCCAAGACAAAACACAATCGATAATACTGAACATCATAAAAAACGTAAATCATTTTGACAAAACCATAGACATATAGACAGATTTTGGATGAACGACGAATTAAAGATAGGTTTGATAAGACCCTTTAAATCAAAGCTTAGAGTAGTGCCCTTCTAATTATTTCACATTATTCAAACAACACTTTATATAGAAATTATGTATCCATTGCAATGAAAAACATTTAATGTACTTAATTTGCATGGATGGGGATTTTAAACGTAGAATATTTTGCACAAATTTCCCTGCATTCATCATGTTCATGCAGTATAGTTGTAGGTCTATTTTAAAGACTATTGATGGATCACTTTTTTGCGTTTTATATTCACTCTTGAGCATATCATTGTTTTAAGCACTATGTCAATAAAATTGCACCTTGATTTGTATTTTATTATTAGATTTATCACTTAAACATATGTTTCCTGTTACATCAGACATTTTAAACATTGGGAGGTATGTTTATACTAGCTGTTGTGAATAGAACAGAATTTGTTTTTCGTTACTTCATGAAAAACAAATAAAACGCAACGCAAGGGAACAAAAATAATTGTCTGCGAAACAATTATTTATTCATCTTCAAGACATCTCAATTTTTTTACTTTAAAAATTTAAAAGTTGCAATAACGTTTTTTTTTAAGAACGAAAAAACTCGTACAAGGTATGTGTCACTTATACACCTAATACTATTTGAATACAGGAAGGCAGTCACACTGTATTGAACAACTTTATAACATAATTTTCCTATTCATATCGATCGGATTGAACTATTTGTAACAATTTCAATAATATTAGTTACATAGTGTGCTAGTGACCTAATACGGTATATATGGGGTCAGTAAATTCCATATGGAATTTACTGACCCCATATATACCGTATTACGTCACTAGCACACTATGTAACGAATTTATCTTACCGACTATCTTAAAGTGTGAAATTTAGACTAGTGACCTATCAAAATGAGCAAGTCTTCAATACCGTTAGCATTAAGAAACTACTTCCATTGATCCTACAAAAACAGATGCCAACAATAACAAAAGAGGGACGAAAGATACCAGAGGGACAGTCAAACTCATAGATCGAAAACAAACTAACAACTTGTTCGGTTTAAATGTGTTTTATGAATTTATTTCAATCTTCATCATCAATTTTCTTCGTCTGTTGAAAACTTTAAGATTTTTTCTCAGTACCGTTTTGTTTTTATAAAGGGACGTACCACCACTACTAACCGTGTATGAAATAAGCCCCGCCTCCCTACTAACCTAATATGGAATCATCACGGTCTCCACGCGGACGCTTTTAACCAATCATATTCCTTGAAATGTATAGGAGGTAAGATAAATACGCATACAAGGAAGATAATATTATGTTGCTTGGGAACGATTGTACCAGAAAACGGTCAGTGTTAAACAATCCGTTTGCCGGTTGAAAACGGTATAATGTTAAACTAATTTGGATTTTTTTGGTCTTTTTTTATTATTTTTAGAGGGGGATGTATTTGTACACCCATATCTCACTTTGAATGATGAATACAACAAAAACTACTTCGATCATTATTTAGCACGGAATCATTTAGATAAAAGCATGGATCTCCAGTATTGGCTGAATTGAAATTAAACATATGATTGATGGCGTTTGATTTTGTCAGTTTTTATAGACTTCCCCTTTTTGAATTTGCATTTCGGTATTTTTTTTTATACTTTTTTTATAAGCCTTATAAATCAATATTGCAACAAGAAAAACGTAGAGTAGTGTCCTTCTGGTTATTTCACATAGTTCAAATAAAGCATGTGCAAATTGCAAAGAAAAATAATAATATGTACTTAATTTGAAAGGATATGGGGATTTAAACCTTAATAAAACTGCATGTAGTATAATTGTAGATCTACATT